ACTTTGAAAACCATGCTGAGTGGATCTGACCTACTGGCTAACCTCAGGAAAACCGCAGGTAAAATAAATCAACGCTATATTCAGACCCTTGAGAATTAGCTCAAGTCCCTCCATTTTCTCTTGATCTTCTTTGTGATGAGCCCACCTGTGGGTAAACTCAGCTGATTGGACATTATTTGGAGAGAGGCCACACCCCTATCGATATAAGGCTGTGGTTGAAAAATCTTTTTTCTCAGGAAGGTTCAAACTGAGTGAAATGAGCTGAAGTATCTGAGCAGCAGCCATGATCAGAGCCGCTACACTTCTCTACATGATAAGGAAAAGAGCTTCAGTGCCTCAATTGATTGGACAAGGATTTCCATCAGTTCTGGATCATGTCACAAACATAAAACAGCTGCTCTGTTGTTTCTACATTTGCGTAGGTCTGCCAAGGTGAAAGTACAATGGTGTGTCCTTTTAAATGTTGCTGCAGCAAGGAATTGTGGAACAACATTTCTCCTTTCCTTTCCTAAAGGAAGGTTCAGTGTTTCCTATGCTGAAGGAGATAAGATAGGAAGCACTGAAGCTCCTTTCCTTATCATGTAGAGAAGTGTAGCAGCTCTGATCATGGCTGCTGCTCAGATACTTCAGCTCATTTCACTCAGTTTGAACCTTCCTGAGAAAAAAGATTTTTCAACCACAGCCTTATATCGATAGGGGTGTGCCTCTCCAAATCATGTCCAATCAGCTGAGTTTACCACAGGTGGGCTCATCACAAAGAAGATCAAGAGAAATGGAGGGACTTGAGCTAATTCTCAAGGGTCTGAATATAGCGTTGATTTATTTTACCTGCGGTTTTCCTGAGGTTAGCCAGTAGGTCAGATCCACTCAGCATGGTTTCACAAGCCACCTGAAAATCACAGTCAGTCTCAGTCTCTGGATCAGATCTGATTCCTTTGTTATTCATACCTGCTCACTTCTTCTCATTTCTGCTTATTTTCTACCCTTAATTGACGATAATAAAATATCAGGCTCAACCTACATGTGTGTAGAAACTCTTTTTCTTTCTTTCTGTTGTCATTCATATATTACATTTCCATTTGTTCTTTTGAAACTGTTTAAAAAGGTTTTTATTTGAATTGGTAAACTGTATTTTTTCTGCTTAGATTTACATTATCACAGGATCTATTTTCCTCCACTGGATCGTACAGGAACACCAACTTTGGACAGCAATGTTTTCTAAAGCCTGACGGATACATTTTTGTTGAATTTTCAAAAAAAAGTGGGGGGTAGCTGGACACTGTAAGATAATCAGTATTAGATTTCTGATGTCAGTAACAACATCAATATTTCAGAAGTAAAAAAATGGTATTTGTTGTTTAACTTAAACACATTGCCTCATTGCCTTGGGTGGGCGAACCAACTCCCGATATACATGTACACTGTATATATACACTCATTGGCCACTTTATTAGTTACACCTTGCTAGTACCAGGTTGGACCCCTTTTACCTTCAGAACTGCCTTAATTCTTCTTGGCATAGATTCAACAAGGTGCTGGAAACATTCCTCAGAGGTTTTGGTCCATATTGACATGATAGCATCACGCAGTTGCTGCAGATTTCTCGGCTGCACATCCCTGGTGCAAATCTCCTGTTCCACCACATCCCAAAGGTGATCTGTTGATTGAGATGTGGTGACTGTGGAGGCCAACTTAATGTCATGTTCAAGAAACCAGTTTGGGATGATTTGAGCTTTGTGACATGGCGCGTTATCCTGCTGGAAGTAGCCATCAGAAGATCGGTACACTGTGGTCATAAAGGGATGGACATTGTCAGCAACAATACTCAGGTAGGCTGTGGCATTTAAACGATGCTCAATTGGAACTAAGGGGCCTAAACCGTGCCAACACAATATCCACAACACCATTACACCACCACCACCAGCCTGAACCGTTGATACTACCATCTGAATGTTGTTGCAGAAATTGAGACTCATCAGACCAGGCAATGTTTTTCCAAATCTTCTATTTAGTGAGCCAGTGCGAACTGTAGCCCCAGTTTCCTATTTTAGCTGACAGGCGTGGCACCTGGTGTGGTCTTCTGCTGCTTCAAGGTTTGACATGTTGTGCGTTCAGAGATGCTCTTCTGCATACCTCGGTTGTAACCAGTGGTTATTTGAGTTACTGCTGCCTTTTTATCAGCTCAAACCAGTCTGGTCATTCTCCTCTGACACCTGTCATCAACAAGGCATTTTGACCCAGAGAACTGCCGCTCACTGGATATTTTCTCTTTTTCGGAGCATTCTCTGTAAACCCAAGAGATGGTCGTGCCTCAAAATCCCAGTAGATCAGCAGTTTCTGAAATACTCAGACCAGCCGTCTGACACCAACAACCACGCCACGTTCAAAGTCACTTAAATCACCTTTCTTCCCCATTCTGATGCTCAGTTTAAACTTGAGCAGATCGTCTTAACCATGTCTACATGCCTAAATGCATTGAGTTGCTGCCATGTGATTGGCCTATAAGATATTTGCGTTAACGAGCAGTTGAACAGGTGAACCTAATAAAGTGGCCGGTGAGTGTATATATGTATAGTTACTGTTTTTCTCATATTTCTCTCCTCTTTCCTTTCTGTGTGAGTCTCTAGTGTCTTGTCTCTAATATTATCTTGGGTTTTAAGTGATGTAACTGCAGCTGTGCAGCTGTTCCTGAGGTGAACAGCTATGGTTCCACAGTTGCTGTAATCTGTTGGTGTTGTTTGCATATTGTTGTTCACCTTGGGACAGCTGAATGAGAACTTTCTGTTCTGTTGTCAGAATACTTTCAGTATATGTGATGTCACTCCCTCATGCACAGCACTGCAGACTACTGCTTTGTGGTTTAATCGCTGTGTATACCTTGACAGGGTTGGCGGGCATGTTGCCCATGAAGTGAGTGCTGTAGGGGTAATCCAGCATGGCCATCAGAGTGAAGGCGTTCCTCAGCAGGCCGTACAGCTGGTGGATGTCCTGAGCAGATGATGGAGGTTTACACAGAGTGAACTCTGACTGGATGTGACTGTAATCTGGGAACAAACAACAGCAGTGTGTTTAAATTCAGAGTTAATCAGAGTGACTATATCTGGCTATACCTTTGAACTGTTCTTAACTATTTGGGTTTAAAATGGTTGGTATTCTATCTAATGAGCCTGGGGCATGAGTTATATTTTTGTTTGAGTTATATAGAGGAAGACGACAAGGATGTCTTTTATCACCAGGTCTCTTCTTTTGATAGAATCCCTCGCTCAAGCAACACAAATATAATTTCTTTATATCACCAGTCACTCTATTTCACTTTATGCAGATGATCTTATCATTCATTTCACACAAGAACTCAATCCATCATTTGATGAGTTCAATTCCATCTCAGGATATAAAATTAACTGTTAAGTGGCATCAGAATGCAATGGAAATAATATGGATATGCAACACCTGAGGGATTGGTCTCCAGAGTCTATAAAATGCTCATCTTACATAACCTTAATAAATTCCCTATTACACTGCTTTGGGAAAAGAAATTACAGGGTCTTGGTTTTGATCCAGTCAGGTATCGTCTCTTACTCAAAAAGAAATTCAGCCTTCAGTTAATTAATTAGAAATGTGCTCATAGGACATATGAACACAGCTGCAGAATAGGAACAGTTGAAGATAACAGATGTCACATTAATATAATTTTATGCATCTGTTCCAGATTTATTATCCAAACAATCTGGGAATTTATTATGGATGTTTTTAGTTCTATTTTGCAAAATGATCTTCTTAGATATTTTCTTATTTTGTTTTTTGATCGTAGATATAATCTCTTTGTCTCACCAACAGTGGAGAATAATGTTAGCTGCTTCGCCATTAGGCTGTTAGTCTTAAAAACTGGATTTCCAGTCATAATCACTTCAAACTTGGACATATATATACTGTGTGTATATATATATATGTATATATATATATATATATAGTCTGTGCATTTAAGAAAGATCAACACCTAAATTAAATTGTGCAGGAAACAATTGAAGAGTGGTCAAAAAGCACATGTGGTTGTAGACAGTATGTATATCCAGTCTGTATGACTGTTATGTACATACTGAACGTGCATATGTCTTTATGTGCATGGATATGTATGCAAATGTATATTTCCATGTATACAGGAGAACACATATACATTGTTTACCAGCTGGGTTTTTTGAAGTTGACAAAAAACGAAACTTTTTGTCATTTCTGTTGATCAAATGAAGGTGATCTTTTCTCCATACAGAACATGGTCACAAAGATTTACCTTGATGTTCAGCTAATTCTTTTAGCTGATGGAAAGCTCCTCTCACAGCATCTCTGCATTCAGGGGCAACGTTCTCAAAGTCCTTTGAAAGAGAAACAACAGGTTAAAATCTAACATGTACACGTGGATGTAAGTTGCTGTAGACAGTTTTAGAGTGAGGAAACGCTTGGGAAATGACAGCTGGAACAAACGAAAATGTTCTGGAACCATTGTTTAAGTTTGTTTTAATAAGGTTAAGTATGACCATCTGTGCACTTACAGCTGTAACATCTCTAAAAAACTGCCTGGAGTCTCCCAGCCCAGCAGTGGACAGTATGGGGGCACTGGCAGCCAGAGCTCCAGCCACTATGTTTGGATACTTGAGTCTCATGTAGACTGACAGCATTCCACCATAACTGCAGAGAAGAGAGCTGACAGTCAATCAGTGAACACTCCGGGATCAGCTGGGCCGAGTGAAAGAGGAAGTAGATACAGGACACTTCTGAAAGACAACACTGGAGTTTGTTAAAGATGCCGTCTGATTTCCAACCACAGGTCAGTCTGGATGTGTTTGAATGATAACACACTGTACTTCTCAGAGTAGCTACGGTTTTAAGTTTAGTTTGAAGGATTCCTTTGTAAACGCATGTGTGATGTGTGTTAAGTCTACAGGTGAAACTAGAACTGAAATGATTTCTGAATTAAACAATTACTTGAGTGACAGAAAATTAAATAGCAGCTATTTCAGTTTCAGAGAGAAAGTGTTTCTTTCTTTTGGTTCAGGTGTAAAATTTGATGCCAAATGAGTGAAAACTGCCCAATGAAGTGAATTTTTATCACTTATGAAGAGACAAACTTCACAACAAGTCACACAGGTGGAGAACACCAACAACAGGTAGGTGGATCCTACCTGCCGCCAAACACGATGACGGGACAGTGTGAGGCTGCCAGCTGCCGTCTCAGCTCAGTGATCAGGACGCTGTAGTCGGCGAGGGCCTGCTCCACTGTCAGCAGGCTGATCTGAGGGATGTTGAAGGAGTCGTTGCCGAATGGCAGAGATTTGCCGTAGTACCTCTGTGAAAGGAAGAGGACGACCAAGGTGTTCAGGCTCGATCAAAGATTCAAAGCAGATGCAGGCAGGGTCAAAGCTGCATGATAACCCAGCTCCAGTGACTGACATCATCAAGTCTGGCATGACTCTGCCAAGTACAACTGAACTGCAGGTTTCAGGCAAATTAAAATATTTTCGACACTGGAGCTACACACAGAAACCTGCTGAACAGATGAGAGTACATCAAAAGGACAAGTCAGGTCAACAAACAATGGTTGTTTCCCATTAACAAGAACTGTCGGTGTATCAAAGCCTGATACATGTTATTGCTCTGAGCCACAGAGCTCCATTAAAACACTTGAGTGACTCACATTGTTCCTTCATCACCGAGAACACACACTAGTTTATTTTGACTTGATCCCACACTCACCGTCATGCTGCCCCAAATACTCAGAGCACCGACTGTGGATTAATCCACCACTGTAAACAGTCGTAGTGTTTGAGTGTTTAAAAGCATTGAACAACAGGTGTGTCCCAGTCAGGTTCATCACTGTTTAGTGTCCCCTGGAAACACTGGCGTTGTGCTGAGGATTTGCCGCTCACGTGTTGTAAAATTGATGAGAATGTTTTCTCAACGCAATTCTGTTTTGCCTAGTTGCATGTCTTTCCTTAAGTTGCAGTGTGTTGAATTCTCAGGGCGACTGTAGTAATGTATGTGTGTATTTATATACATAAGTGTGCTTGTGTGTGTGTGTATATATATACTGTATATATTGAAATGGTGATTGGTCTTATAAAAACCAAATTGCCTTGTAAAATCTGAAAGGAATGTGGGAAGTTAAAATCACATGACCATATGAGTCAAACTTTAACCGTCCATTTCTCATTTGCCTTTGTCACATGATCTGCATATTCTACTCTGTTTGGTTAAGAAATGTTTAGTCAGTATTTCCACAGACAATACTGTCTGCATTTAACTGGACTGTCTCACAGTTTGTCCCAGTTTTCTTACATGTTCAGCAAATATGACGAGAGCCTTCTGGTGAGCAGCTAACTCTGTTATGAATCCAGAGTTGAGGGCAAACTCCCAGATGTCTCCCTCGTTGCCTGTGTAGAAGAAAATAGGACCAGAGCCTTTCTCCCAGTACTGACCTAAAAGGAGAGGAAAAACACAGCACATGAGTCACTGGCTCTTACATGTGTTACATTTATAACAGAAAACTGTTTTTACCTGTGATCAGGTAACGCTGACTGAATGTCCCGTTTCCCATGCTGTTAAAGTTGAAGTGATCGATAGTCTGACTGAAATACTTCTCTGTGAACTGGGGTTCTGTCTTGAATCCATGATGTTTTCTGAACTAAGAAAATGAATGATATGTACAGAGTAGATTATTTTGAATCACTTAAATTCTGACTTTATACACTTTATACAGCAGCTGATGAAACAGGAATTTCATTAGATGTTCCTGTTTTAATTTGTGGTTCCATGAAAAACTGTCTGGAAGTCCAGAGTGTTGCAAGAGTACTGTCAAACCAAACTCCATTCAAGAAACTACAAATTTAACAATACTTTGTTAATTCAAAGCCACACATATAATGATAGAATGTGAATTAAAACCTGTGGTTAATTTAAAATTTTCGTCCTTACACCTGACACCAATTAACACTATTTTACTGACAAAACATCAACTTTTAAGTGTGTTCACCATCACACCCACTCCAATAGTAATACCGTTTTATTTGAATTAAGTTTAAGTCTTTCTGATTTGTTGGTCACTTGACGAATTGGTTCCATTTTTACAGTGTTTAAACACAATCAATCAGATGTATGTGACGTTACTGACCAAACTCCACACGTTTGAACGTAGTTTTCTCAAAAGCAGGAACTGAGATTTGAGAAAGACAAAAAGCAGCAAACATTGACTCGTTACCTGATTAATGGTATGTGGCAGAGCGTGCAGCACCTGAGCAGAGACTAGCGTCACTGTTACCGCTAGAAAATCTATTATTCTCCTCATGTTTCACAGAAAAATGCTTCTAACACCACGGTACAGTCAGTGAACTACTTCATGAGTAGCCTATGCGCTTGCGCGAATCGCAGGTATCACATGACTTATGTTATGATCTGTGCTGCGTTTAAGTGCGGCTCGTAGTATTTTCTTAGTAGGATGTGAAGCTCACACAATAAAACAGAGAAGAGAAAATGGTTAAAAAAAAACAGAGCCAAAACTTAAATAGATTTATGAGAGAAAATATTTGTATCTAAGCAGGGCAGCAACAACTAAAGGTGAAAATACAAACATACTAGAATACCGTTTATTGAGAATGCCACACACACATACACACTATACTATACAGCGACGCCGCAATGGGGCAGGCAACCCAGGCAATTGCCTAGGGCCCCGAGCTGAAGGGGGCCCCGAGGGACGGCTGACATCGATGACAAAATAATGGAACTGCTTTGGACGCTGCAACGACAACGTATCGGAAATGCCCCGCCCAGGGCCCTTTCCGAGTTGTCACTGGCTAGTTGCTAGTAGGGGGGCCCGACAGACGGCTGATATCGCTCCATATCAGCGACACAACTTGAAACCCCCGTAGACACTGCAATGACACGTCGGGAATCTCCCTAATGGGGCCCCCCTACTAGCCGGCATCGACGTGCGGTCGCGGTCAAACACACACATGAAAAAATGAAGGGAACATATCTCTCTGGGCACACGAAAAGAAAAAAAAAACAAGAAGAGGATGAAAAGAAAAAACGTGACAGTGGTAAGTATAAATGTGTAAGCTATGTGTGTTACATTATAAAAAAAGTAGTGCTGCCAGCCAGCCTACCACTTTATCCCAAACTCCCAGTCATCCACCAAGCACCAAATAAGCACCAACCTACAGTTTCCTGTTTTCAAAGAAAAGCATGCAACAGGTGCTAAAGAGTGGCAAGCTTCGTGCAAGTTGCAAGAACTTGGAGCAAACAATGCATGACATTGAGGCAGATGATTTAGAATTGGAGATCAATTCTGCTGTCTACACTTTTCCAGACCACGCCTCCACCTGCCCAAATGACATGTTAAACTACATTTACAGTGAAAACCTTCTGGATCTGTACAGTAATCTAAGCATTGCATTGTGTCTCCTCTTGACTCTTCCTGTCTCTGTTGCCTCTGGTGAGAGGAGCTTTTCTGCTTTGAAGTTGATCAAAACCTATTTGAGGTCAACCATGTGCCAGGAGAGGCTCACAGGACTGGCACCGATTTCAATAGAAAGAGATGTTTGGAGGTCCTTAGAAATGGAAGACATAGTGTCTGCATTTGCAGAAGCCAAGGCCCGCAAGCAGCAGTTTTAAGAAAATAAAGGCACTACTATTGGACTGTGGATATAGGACCAAGGTGTCACAGCAAGTTTTAAGTTCTTCCCTTTCCACTTCAATTCCTTGTTTGTTTGTTTTTTTGCTTGGTTGCGTTTTTATCATTCTGAAAATTTTGCACATTTCAGTTATGTTTGTTTTTCTGTTATTTATATATTGTATGTAAAGTTTGAATTCAGCTAGTTATGTTATTTATTATTTATTTTATATGTTAATTGTTTAATAAAAGATTTCTTTACTGATCCGTAGTCCTGGACTTCATTCATCATGATTCTGGGAGGCCCCGTGGTCCTTCTTGCCTAGGGCCCCCAGGGGGTCTAGAAACGCCCCTGATACTATACTGTGCCTTCTGCAAGTTACCTTTTATATCAGTGGTTACCAACCTTTTCCAGCTCATGGCCCACTTGAAAATCTCAAAAACAAATCTGATACCATAACAATATGGAGGCCAAAAAATGCCATCTCAGAGCACTTGATTTTTAAATATTTCATATCTAGTATTTCTTATTCTAAAGATGACAATGGAATATTCAGGCATGAACTGAAAGCAATCAGTTTTTTTCTTTTTTGTTTGACAGGGGAGAGATCACTTGTCGATTCACCATCTGTCTCTTTTCTTATCTTATCTTATCACTCTTTTCTTTTAATTCTTCCTGTTGCTAACCAGCTAACCATAGCAACCAAGTGGTCCGGCCGTCAACAATATAAACGTTCCTATCACTGGCTTATCACCTTGATAGACCTAAATACCAGAAAAAAATTAAAGGAGTTTTTAAATATTTTCAGTGTTTTCAAAGATGATTTGATTACAACTTATAAAAACATTATTTATACCTCTATTTTATTTATTTATTCATTTTAATATTTACACCTTTTCAGCAAAATTGTACCGTTCTGCAAATGATTTGTCGGCCCTTTTGCAATACTTTCAAGGCCCACCAGGGGGCCTCAGCCCACAGGTTGGGGACCACTGTTTTAGATCATTTTAAATTGTGGTTTAGATGCTAATTTTGAGAGGAATAAGATGTGATCTCAGCAGCAGATGGAATTTGGACCCTAACTGGACTATATCCAGCACTTTCATCTTCTTCGTAGAAGTGGTCGGTGGTGTGTTTAATCTCTCTTCCAGACCACATTTGCTGATTTCACCATGCCTTAAGATAGTTGTGCCAAGCAGGAGCATATGCATGAGGCAAAGCATTGTGCATGTGCATCTGAGTCAGACAAAGCATGAGGTGCACGTCTAGCTCAGGGCTGGTTTCACAGAGATATATCAGACTGGTCTGTAGTGCTGGTCCAGTCTTCATTTTAACTGTCTGACCAACATCAGACTGTTTCACAAAAATAAAGACTGACTTATTTTAACCCAAAAACATTAGACACCTTACCTCCAGACTAACTCAGGCCTGAGACCAATGTTACCATGGTAACAATCAATGCGCTGACCAGTAGCAGCCAACAACAAAAAAACTGGAAAACATTGTTATGGAGAGAGCAATGAGAAAGGAAAAAGTTTTAAGAGACCGCAGCCAGATTTTTCTTTTTATTGTTTCACTCTTCAAGTAAAACGTCTTTTAACTGTTGATTCTTCCTAAAGACAAACATTTTCTGTTTTACATTTGTATCACATTTTATGTGGTTTCTCAGTCTGCAATTTTTTTTATTTTGAATAAAGTCTTAATTTACTCAGAATCCATTGTACCACAGTCCAGTTTAAGATAGTCAGGAACTGAATTGCTTTGTGCAACAGATGAATTTAGAGTCAGTCTGTCTGAAGTCCGTCTAGTATTTGCAGCTCATGTGTTGTCAAATTGATGACAATAATTTTTGTTTGTGTTTTATCTATCTTCATGTGTTTTCTTAAGTTGCAGTGCGTTGAGCTCTCAGGGCTAATCATCAACTAATCATAAACAGTTGATTTCATTCTTTTTTATTTCAAGGAACTTTGCTTCATACAAAATGTTTAATGTAGAAACAACTGTAGAATTCAAAGGCTGGCGAATAAACTGAAAAACAGGCAAACAAACATTTCACTGAATCCCAAGACCCAAATAAAGGAATGTTCCAGCTCTGCTGCATGGGGTGGAACTATCAACAATGGTCAATACTGTTCTTAATAGAAATTTGTCTTTTCAACAAACCCCACAGTTTATATCAAATATTAAAAATCAACAACAAAATAACACAGAGTATCTAAAAGTACTAAGTTTTCTACATGCACATACATTGTCAGAACATGCAAACATTTGTATTTTCTCAAGAAAAAGCTGCATCTGGCAGAGGCCAGTAGGATGCAGAAATAAAGAGATTGGATTGCTTCTAATGTTTGGCGGCCGATTGTTCCAGACGTGTACACAGGTACGTTTCATTTGACGCTACACAGAGGCCACGTAGTTGAAGAAGGTACAGGTACTTTGAGAATTTTTCTGCCATAGTGTCACAAAACCTTTAAAATAATGAATGTGATCTATCTGCAGAAGAACTTGTTCCCGTCTGACAAAAATAATCACTTGGATAGTATTTTAGGCTGATTTATGAAAACATTTTTGTTATGACCTAACAAGAAACACCTCCTCCCATTTTGAGCCATGGGTTCTCCATTTGACATTGTCAAAGTGGGTAAATGTTATGCATGCAAATATATGTGTAAAGTTGCTGTAATCCTAAATATTCTGTTTCTTGTTTACACTTTGTGCCTTTATGTATTTTAGTATTTTTTGTCTGCATGGTTTTTCAAAGCATTTTCTATAAAACATTTGGTCACACTCATGCTGAAGCCTGAATCTGAAGAGACCAGCATGTAAAGCTACAGAATGGATGGAGAAATGGGTTTGTCTTGTTGCATAGCCCTACTCTGTGTCAGGCCCATGTAGTGTGTGTCACTGTGGTTAAACAAGGTCCCTGTCTCCCACCGTCAAAAACCCTCTACCCAGTTAACAGCTGCACACCTTCAACTCTGTCCCTCATGCAGCAGATCAGATCACCATGATGTACAAACTCTGCAGTACATCAACATTTCACTAAAGACAATCTAATATCGATGTCAACATGTGTATCCAGCAGATTGCATATAACAGATGAGCCTCCATGTATCAGAGCAGAGTACAGTTTCAGGCCACATGACAGTCCCCCAGAGCTCTGAGACCGATGATGGGGTGAAGATGTTACTTCTATAAATCTGACAGCTGGAGAATCTCTTCCTTCAAAGTGGAAGCAGAGATCAGAGATCAGGTGTTGGCCTGTAGGACAACCTCTAGTCTAGTAGTGTCAGATCCACCTCTGACCACTGACAGACAGCAGTCTAATGGTTGTGTGCAGTTCAGGAGCTGTTGTGTGTAACTACATTCTCTCCAGTCTCACAGAGCCACATTAGACTTGGTTTAAAGTCTCAGTGTTTATACAGCTGATCATTCACAACAAGATTACCTCAGTGTGCCTCATCTCCTACGTCTGCAGTACTTCAGTTCTCAAGGGATTTCCTACATTTCCCAGAATGCATTTTGAAAAGACCCAGCAAGAAGGCATTAACTTCTTGCTTTCATTCAAAAAATGTATTGTCAACATATAATCTGTGCCCCAACTCCTTACAACATACTAACAGTGTAGGGCAGAGGTCCTCAAAGTGGGCTCCAGGGGTTCCTGGGGGTCTCCATCAAAAAGGGAAATCTAGTAACACAATGACAAAATGTTTGACTGTTCTGGTCACTTTCTGTAATAAAACATCTAAAAGCAAGTCTTATCAGACGGTGGTCTGATGTTTCGGGTCCTTGATGTGAAACAGTTTGAGAACCACAGGTTTATGTAACATACCAGAGATGGACTGACTGATGTAAGTACAGAAAGACAGATATTTTACAGTGTAATGTGTCTTGATCAGTCTTCACCAAAAGGCTTCTATCTGCTGAATGTTTAAACTCAAAAACCTCCAGCATTCAGATATTGTTTTGCAGATAATAGGACTCTTTTTTTTTATTTTTTTTATTTTACTGTAGGAAATTATAAGACCTGCATCAACAAATGTCAATCAAACAGCAAATTTAGAAGGATACTGCCAATTATATTTAACAAGTAAAAAGTCAATATTTATTTTTCAAGCTTATTCATGCCTCATACCTTAAATTTATTCTTTTTTGTGATGCTGATGGTTGAACTCTTCTATGCAATAAGTAGAATGTACTTCTAAACAGTTCAGTGATATCATGTGCAGAGTCCTGGTACAATAACCTTTGATATTCTGTGTGATCGCTGCAGTCAGGCAGATTTAGATGATGGCATCTTCAGTACACAGATCATTTAGTATGTGGAGTGGAGCTGGGACACAGCTAATGATGCAGTTGTGTTGTGGTTTCTTTTCTGTTAATGTGGGTGAAGTCTTCACTGAGACCGGAGCATGATGTTTCATATGAATGAATCAGCTGTAACATGTCCAGCTGTGAAACTACACACACACACACACGCGCACACACACACACACACACACACACACACACACACACACACACACACACACACACACACACAGGCCTGACCTGACTGCATCACCTTTTGCTACTCTGGGTCCTAAATCAGAAAGAAAGTGCTGCCTGTTCCACTCCTCCCCACCCCCCCAGTCCTGTTAGACCTCAGCTGACCAACACACACAGTCCAAACCAGACAGGAGCCTGTGAGGCTCACACTATGACATCTTTTCCAAAAAAATATGCACAATGTGTTACTGGCATTAATGTAACTGGATAGATATATTTATGCAGTTTTCATAGCATTTCCACAATGTTATTCTTGCCCCCACCTACATGTGGTTTAAGGTTTATCAAAAACAAGAAAAGTAATCAACTTTCATAAGGTCATTTTTCAGTTCCTGCCTTCTAAGCGTACTGTAGGTACTGTTTCTCTCCGTGCAGATAAGGCGTTCTGTACAACATGTTTTCCTGCAGAGCTACATACAGAATAAACCAAACATCTACTCAAGTGGGATGCATTAGAAAACTGTTGACATTGCATCTTTTTCTACAGTATATCTAAAAGGATAGGCACTTTGTCTTAAAACATTGCAAAGAAGTTTGTAAGAAACATTTGACCTGGAACGATGACAAACCAAAAGCAATTCACATAAAACACACCAGAGTTTTTTTTATGTCATACAAAAAATGACACAAAGAAAAGAGAGAAAACATCTACAAGTTAATTTTTATAGAAAAGAAATCGGTCAGGTACGTCTCACCACCGTGGGTTGCTTCTCTCTTCAAGTTTGCAAGAAACATTTAACAGGTAAACAATCATGGCCGCCTGCTGGACAGCACGTCATCTGTTCGACTCGCACAAAGGGAATGTCATAAAGGATTAGGCATAATCATAGAATGGTAGAGTCCTAAACTAAAGAACATCACAGCTATTTGTACAGTGTCACAATATCTTTGAGGTTTTCCAACATGCTAAACTATCGTTTTACTGAACTATTGACCTGGTTTTTGTCCTGTTTCCATGACATGCAGCGCCGTCACTGTCTGCTGAAACGGCCATACTGACTCTCAAACGCACTTCAACTCTCAGCTACAGTTAGAATCTGATTCTCTTTACTTACAGCTTAAACATGAAATGGTTCTTTGTCATTGGTTGTGCTGTTGGATGTAATGATAATAATAATGATGATGTGGAAGAAGGTGAAATGCCTGTTAACAAGCTGATAAAGACACACAACTCATGTTGAGTGTGGTGTTGTCTTAATTTACAACATTGTGAAAAGCCTGCTTCTGCATGTGCCTCTTTGATTATTGTGTATGTGGAGCACAGAGAGAAGCTCTCTCCGAAAAGAAAAATTCTCACTCTATCATGTAGCACATTTGCAAAATTAATTTCACCTGGTAAACTGAGCAGATCATGACAGGATAAAAAACAAAATCATTAAAGCTGCACGAGTCAACATCTTATACTTCAACATGTTTGTGCAAAGTGAAATGCGAGAGAACTTCCACCAGTCTGCAAATGCAATTAGCCTAATGACTCTTTTTCATCCTTTCAGCTAGGGCTGCACAGTTAATTGAAATATAATCGAAATCACAATATAGCCCAGTGCAATATCCAAATCTCAGGAGCTGTAATTTTTTCAGATGAAGTTAAAATGTGTCACGTTGTTGTGCGTTGTTAGCACCATAAGTGTTGTGGTGACGCCCCGGCCTACAAATCATATTCTCCAGATGTAAAGGATGTTGGTTTGGTACAAGACCAACAACAATCCCATCATCATCATTTTTTCAGTGAAAATGAAAATGCAAGACTGATTATTCTAACTGAAATTGCAAATTGCAATATCTGCCAAAATAATCACAATGATTTGTTTTTGCATATCATGCAGCTCTACTTTCAGCTGTTTGTATTGACTTTACTGTTTTGATTACTGCTCTTATCAGCCTAATTTCCAGAAGCAGTAACACTAAGATAAGCCCTCTGTACATCTGCTCAGCATCAAACAGCAAATAGAAACAGTTAGCAACTAGCAGCAGGTTTTAATCAGGAGTTGATGGAGACCAAAGCCAAGCTAACAGCAGAGTCACCACTGGACATAACTCCAGATGAATGCTAATGTTATGAATGACAAACAGCAGATCTGGTGGTTGATCTACATCATCCAAAGTCAAGAAATATGATCATTTGAATGTCTAGTCTGTGTTTATAATGCGATGCTGTTTGAGGGTCGATATGGTGGCGTCAACAAAACACTGAAGTCAAAGCAAATCAAGGGTCGTGACTGTATGACATCAGATTTTGGCAAAAAGTCTACTCTCCTGTTTCATGATGCTATGTGCCCTTTGACAAAGATGACCATTTCTTGTTCACGTTCTCCCTGTTTAGATGTTCTCCCTAACCTTAGCTCTCTAAGTTAGGATTAAAATACAGCATTAAACATACACAGTGACAATGTAAACTGAAGCCTTCAAAGAAGATGATAAAACTCATCACAGTTCCTCAAAAATGCATTAAAAAGGTTGGTTTAAAGCCATGCTAGCACCATTCGTCCTCCTCTGCCTCCTGGTAATACCTGGGTGCCCTGACGCCAGAGCCTGGGCTGGTGTTGCCCCCGAAGCTGAAGTGGTACCCATTGGGCAACCCAAGGTTCTGCTGTGGAGCCGGAAGCAGGGCTCCTATCATGCAAGGCAGTGCGGTCCAAGATGAGCGTCCGGCACGGGGGCTAGGCGACACTGACGCCACATCCTGGAAGACATCCAGCTGGTCCCGGAGGCTGCCGTAGGGGCTGCCCGGGGCGTCGCCGTGGCCCCGGCCCAGGAAGGGCTCAGAGCTGATACGAGTGATGGGGCAGGGGAAGTGGCAGGAGCTGCTGTGCCGGAGGGTATTGTGCTCCGACAGGCCGCGGCTCAGCCGCCCGGGACTCAGAAAGGCCTGGCTGGACACATAGTGTACAGGGGAGGAATTGGCAGTCTTGTAAGCCACCACTGGCCGTGGGGTGAGGGGGGTCTGGGGGAGCTGCCGACGTCCACGGCTCGGCGTGCTAGAACTGGAACTCAGTGCCACTGGGCTGCCTTTAACCCAACCACTGCCCTAGATGAAAATTGGACAAGCAATTTGAAACGAGAGAACGATGAGCAAAATATGTAAGACAGGAAAGGTCAAGGGAAGAAAACAGGGACAGGGCCGCCACAGGGAGGAAAGGAAAGGAAAGACATCAAAATGTGATGTGTGATGACACAAAAGATGACAGAGAACAAATGAGGGACAAAGACAGAAAACACAGAATAAAAGAACAAGCACTCATTGAGAGACAGACACAATGGATGGAGAATGATGAAGAAAGAAAGTGGGAAAAGAAGTGAGAGGCCATGAGAGGCTGCACCAAAGGCAAACAGAGCATGCAGAAGAATCACAGTAACACTTCACTTCCCCTGTTTATTCTCACTGTTTCCTAAACTGCCTCTCTGACACGAGACAAACGGTCTATAGGTTGTTTAATATGCAGATATATAACAGTCTGCTCAGTGTGGCGAACCTCTCTACAGTTTAGTTTTCAGCTGAAATGAATTTCCTCTTTTTGACGCTCCTTCACGTCTTCATGAATCTGTGTATTTTACGAACTTAGAAATAAACAACAAATGGAACCAGTTATAGGAACCCACAGTTGTATTATTAATTTCTAATTGCTGTGCAGTGTGAAGTTTTTTCATGCTGAAGATGTAAAACAATAGTTTGCTGAGACCTATTTTCTGCTGTGGATGGATATATATTAAATGCTATAGTGAGTATTTGGGGCAGTGTGCGTTCACAGTGATGCAGGAAGATGTCACCTGCACAACAGTGTAGCTCACTGATGTGTGTGTGAGAAATACTGATGACATTTACATTTACTGTTATTCATTATTCAATTCTATTCTGTACAGAAGAATCAGTAAATTCCAGGTTTAGATTGGTTGTTATTTTTATGCAAAATGAAGTGAAGTTTGTTACATGAGCCATTTAGACAAAACAGTGATTCAGTATTTCAGACTTGTGTCAGCAGCTGGTGGTGGATATTAGTTTGTGAGGAGGTGGATGGGTCTGATCTTCAGTTAAACTGTGATGAGGTTCATCAGATCAGATATGATGATACTTTTAATTAGCCATCAACACTGCCATGAAACTACAGGCCTTCACCTCAACTGATGTTTGAATGTCTAAATGAATATTTGTCTCATTATCATTATGAGCAGCTGTGACGGACTTCTGAGGTTCCGTGTGTTTGGTCTAGATGGAGTTTGACTTTCTGGGGGACGACAGGAATCGAAAGACATTGAACTCTTCAGAGCTCTCTCTTCACCTGGTCTAAACCCTCATCTGGCCCTACTCGACACCTCCGTGCCCTCCCACCTGCTTGTTGCTGGTTTCCTGCCCCTCGCTGGGTGAGGCGGCACAGCTCGCGGTGGCAGATTTGGTGTGGCAGTGTTCCCGGCTGCAGAAACGGTCGCAGGAGTAGTAGCGCTGCTTGTCCGCTGAGGAGTGGTGGTGTTTCCTCTCTCGGGAACGTCCGCGGTCGTGGGCTCGCTCTCTGGGGGCAGCTGGGTCAGACACTCGCTCTCCTGGTGCGTCCGAGGGGGAGGGAAATATTGCAGGGTGAAAGTGGTATGTTTCTGTATTCAAGATAATGTTAGAGTTCTGCCTTTTCGCTCTTTGGATGTCTTCACTTTGGTTCACCGGGGCTGAAACTTGACTGCCAGCCTACTTGTCAAAACCTTTGTTTTTGTAAGTAAGAAAAGGGAATCTATAGCACAGGTGTTAACATAATAACATTAACGATGCCTGTGTTCTGTTAAAGTCACAGTGTGACTGTAGGTAAGTTTCCATTTACCTGCTCAATGCACAATTTCAAATTAGACTATTCAACAGAGCAATAACATTTTTTTCACATTCAAGTCGTGGCTCCTGCCGTATCAGAAGCAGATGGTGGAAATGATGTCGTGAGGAGAAATCCCATCTTCATTCACATAACATCAGTCTGTGGATACATTCACTATTGTGCCTTAAAACAAATCGCTTCTATAACTGTGACAGAAAGCAAAAATCCTCCATAGACCAGACGGTCAGGGTCTATGATGGCTACATAGGGCTACACCTTCATAGATGGCGTCCGTGGAAGGATGCAGTCCCTGAATTGAGACACAGCTTTTGAGCGCAAAGCAATGCTAGCACCTCTGTAAGGCTGCATTTAGACACAGCCATATCAGTAACATCAGCATGTTAATATTTGCTAATTAGCACAAAACAGAAAGCACAGTTGAGGGTGATGTGAATGTTGTTAGTGTTGCATTATTATAATTCATGCCGAAGAGGAACATGAATGACTAAAGCTGGTGTTCAGATATTTGTCAGGAAACCATAGAACTCAAGATATTTTACTAAAAGCATTAAAAAGTGAACCTCCTTCCTCCTCGGCTTCTGCAGCACCTTTAATGGCAATACATCAAACATTTCAGTCTGGACTAAAGTGGTGGAACAACTGTCTACCTGTCATTTAGCCATCATTAGCATAACTATAAAGTGCATATAGTGAGCCTCACTGCTTTCTGTTAGCACCTTTATGGGATCTTATTTCATTGGTTTCAAAGCAGAGATTTAGCATTTCATGTTTATTTATAGTCGATTTCAGATGTTCATCTGCCCTCAATACAACAGAATTCTTTGTAAATACTAAATACCTAAAATCTGAATAACCGGTCAAACCTAAACTTTTTGTAAATATTTATTGTATTGTATATATTATATTATTTTCTATTATTCATCTTTCTAAGTACTTCTTGCTGGCATTTTGCAATTTTTTCTTTCTTGTACTGTCACTTTGCTGCTGTGCACTGCAAATTTCCCCAGTGTGAGACTACTAAAGGGATAAATTATCTTGACAGAATACCAGCTATCAGGATCTGATCGTACTATTAGTCTATAAAAATCACACAGTATCGACACTGTGGCACCTCCGTGAGCTCCTGTTGTTTTGCCCTGTACACCAGCTGCCTATTCAAAATTTGACTTCACTTAGAAGGCAGACTGTCCACTGACATTAATTCTGTTTCTTTTGTTTCCTTTTTTTGTAAGGTCTTAAGCAGACTGGACTGGACATGATGAGACAACAAATGGGACTTTTGTGTTCTCTAAACTGTGTATGTGTGTAGGTGCAAACTGACCAGCAGAGCCTGGAGTTGGTCCACCTAGAGGTGTATCCAATGACCTCTGCCTCTTCTCTCTGTCTTTATCTCTGTCTTTACGGTGGTGGCAGTGGTGGTGGTGGTGGTGATGGTGGTGGGGTCGCTCCCGGCTGGGTTTCTCCAGGGTGTAGTCCCTCAGGTTGACCTCCTGGGGTCGCTGTGGAGCCACAGTGGAGGCTGAGCGCTTCATGGTGCTGGCATCAGGGACAGACTGAGGGAAGAGGGAGAGAGAGGGCCACTGAGAACCATGTCTGACACAAGTATTTGTGGGTTTCACATAGCTCCATTTTCATCCAATGACTTCACCTAATCTGTACAAGTGCCTGTGGAATTCTCTATGTATTTACTCACTTCTTATTTACACTGAGACACTTCAGTGAGTAGGTTGTAACTGTTTTCATTGTAGATGGTATGTTTACACCAAATGGCAACCTCCAGAGTTGAAAAATGAAACAGCAGTACAGTGCCAGTGTCTGACTCCGCCCCTAACTCCCAGCTAATCTAAACATGGTCAAAGAGGAGGGGCGTGTGTGGAGCTGAGACTTTGGTGCATGCTGGTTTGTTTCAAGCATACAATCACCCACCTGTCAATCAAAGAGGCCACACCCTCAATTCTCCATAGCTTTAAGCCTTAATAAAATGTAAACAGGTGAGTTATATAAACAGGTGTCATGAAGGAGGAAATTAGCTCTAGAGACCAAAACTGTTTTTGTACCAGGCTGTAAACATGTTTATTTCTGCTGTAAAGTTGGACATTTTAACATGGGAGTCTATGGGGACTGACTCACTGTTGGAGCCAGACTCTAGTGGCCATTAGAGGAACTGTAGTTTTTGGTTCAGAGCTGGTTTGTTGGCTTCATTTTCAGCCTTGGAGGTTAATGCTTGGTTGTATGGTAATATTAACTCATGTGAGTCCATGTGACCACATTACATTGACTGTGTATTTGGACTTGATCTTACAGAACTGGTTCTGTGGATTTAGTTCACCCTGCTGGACCAGATAAATACGCCCAGTGTCAACCCACAAACAAGTGTGTCCTGTCAGTTGTGTGACATCATGTACGTACAGCGAGATGGATCCCTGGAGAGTGGCGTGAGTGGCCCCGCTGTTTTGCAGGAGAGAGAACGGCAGAAAAAGAGATGAGGAAGATTAAGCAAGATGGTGATAAAAGTGATCAAATCTTTGACTGAAAGCCATCGGGAGTACAGCTCTAATGTCATTAAAGCCTTTTTATTTGTAGACAAATGACACAATTCTGTTGAAAACTGATGGTCTGTAGATATTTAGGACAGAGGTGGTGTGATAGTTTTTTTGATACCACCACTCGTGGGTGTCAAAGTCCTCCACAAAGTGGCTTTAAGTCTAATCAGCATTTCATCATTTCTAAATACTTTCTCCAGAACTGCTCCCAAGTAAAACACGAGTACTAGCAAACACTCAACTCAACACCTCATGTACTGTTGTGTGATGTTTGTTCAGCTGTAACAGAAAAATGACACACCGCAGGATGCAACAGAAACATTTCTCTGAGTTACTGCCCAGGACTCACTCCTGCTTCTTTCCGCACATCCTGGATGCAGTGACTCAGATCTCTAAGAGCACATCAGTATCCATTCCTTCAGTTCTTGCCTCCCAGGCTTGTTATTTGGAGAGGAGCTGACAATAGCATGCCTATATATCTGGCATTCCTTTGAAGAGTTCTTGAGATACGGCATTCATAAGGCCAAAAACATGTTTTGTGAGGTCACCATGACCTTGACTTTTGACCTTTTTGCACCAAAATCTAATCAGTTCATCCTTGAGTCCAAGTGAACGTTTGCACCAAATTTGAAGAAGTTCTGTCAAGGAGTTACTGAGATATCATGTCCACGAGAGTGGGACGGACATTTGGACGGACGGACAACAAAACAAAAACCAAAAACAATATCCAGCTCTGACTGTCTCCAGCTCTGTCTCCATCTCTGACTGTCTCTGGCTCTGTCTCTGGCTCTGGCTGTCTCTGGCTCTGTCTCTGGCTCTGTCTCTGGCTCTGTCTCTGGCTCTGTCTCTGGCTCTGTCTCTGGCTCTGACTGTCTCAGGCTCTGTCTCTGGCTCTGACTGTCTCAGGCTCTGACTGTCTCTGGCTCTGTCTCTGGCTCTGTCTCTGGCTCTGACTGTCTCAGGCTCTGTCTCTGGCTCTGACTGTCTCAGGCTCTGTCTCTGGCTCTGACTGTCTCAGGCTCTGACTGTCTCTGGCTCTGACTGTCTCAGGCTCTGACTGTCTCTGGCTCTGTCTCTGGCTCTGACTGTCTCAGGCTCTGTCTCCATCTCTGACTGTCTCTGGCTCTGACTGTCTCTGGCTCTGACTGTCTCAGGCTCTGACTGTCTCCGGCTCTGATTGTCTCAGGCTCTGACTGTCTCCGGCTCTGATTGTCTCAGGCTCTGACTGTCTCCGGCTCTGACTGTCAACAGCAGGCAGTTTCCAAAAGGCCAGCATTAATTGAATTGGCTAAAGGAGTTCTCTTCAAAAACATGAGAAACATAAGACAACAAGTCAACAAGGCCCACTCCCTCCTTACCTTCCTCTCATTCTGACTCCACATTCTCTCACTTCTACAGTAACCCAGTTACCAGCTTCCTCTGCCATGAATCTCGGGCCCAAATCCATTTGGAGCCACGACCATCTTTTCAGTTGGCAGCAGGAGAAAAATAATCCTGGACAAATAGCTGGCGGCTCGCCAGGATCTAATCAGATTACTGTAGACTTCTCCTCTGCAGTGAAAGTAGGATCAACAACAGCTCTTCCAAATGGGCTGTGAAAGGAATGCACTTTAAATGCCTCAATCGATCAATATCAACATCACTCAGGAAATGAGGGTTTCTCAGCATTAACCAGATTAAGAGTCCGAGCTCCTCCATGCTTTTTCAGTAGAAATGTTCCATGTGATGGTTCACTACACTGCTGTTTGGGTTGTTTTCAGTAATGTAGACGCGGCATCTTCTCAACAACTCTTCCTTCTCTGAGAATACTGAGCTGTGTTTCACAGGGTTAGGGTTAGTCTCTATGAGCTTTGCAAATTTGGGCAGTTTATCTCAGTCGTCCTGATAGATCCTCTCCTGTTCTGTCAGACTGGGTTTGAAGTGTCTGTGAGCATCGTCTTCAGGTCTCTCCACGGATGCTCTGTGGCTCAACAGTCAGAGACATGTCCTGAAGCCACTGTTGTCTTGGCTGTGTGCTTCAGGTCATTGTTGTGCAGATATGTGAACTGTGAACCCAGTGTCAGGTCACATTCACTCTGGAGCAGGTTTTCTTCAAGGGCCTCTCTGTGTTTGGCCACATTCATCCTTCCCTGAATCCTGACCAGCGTCCCTGTCCCTGCTGCGGAGAATCCCCCCTCCATAGCATGGTACTAGCACCACTATGTCTGTTTGAAGCATCTGGCTTTTTCTGGATTTAACTTCTTTTCTCTAAGCTATTCAGACACAGTTTGTTGCTTAACCCTAACCCTAACCCTTTTATGGATGTATTATAAGACCAGGATGCTAGATCTAAAATGGCACCAATTCAGTCATCGCTGAAAAAGTTTCTGTCCACAATGTGTGCCACATCAAAGGGTCTGAATACCTTTTACTATTACTTTTACTAAAAGAATTTGTTTTTTTTATTTTTAATACATTTGCAGTAATTAATAATAAACATGTTTTCTCTTTGTCATTTTGAGTTGTTGAGTGTAGATTGATGGACAAATTTTAAAGGAAATGTGAGACACAATAAAGTGAAGGGGTCTGAATACTTTCTGCTCCTTAATGAAACCAGAGTTTGGGAACGGTGGGTGGATTTACTGAGAGAGGCAATCGGTTTTATTAGCAGAATGACACCGAACATTACACTCTGCTGTGTTTTCTCTGCTAAACTCCCAATGGACCACAAAAACATTAAAAACCTAAAACTTAAAAGATCTTTAGGTCTAGTTGTTGACTGAAAACTGAGTCAAAATCAGGTGTGAAAATGAACACAGGAGAGTGAGGTGCAGCTACCTGCAGCTCAGCGCTGAGTCGAGGCATAGAAACAGCTCTGCCCTGGTTCTCCAGACCTGTGCCAGAGACTGGGATTGTACTGCTGCCACTGGTCTCCATCTTCTGCATCTCCACCGACTCCTGGAAACATGCACAGACTAATTGTTATTTTTCTTCTTTATCTCTCCTTAAAGGTGCCAGATGTAAGTTTTGCCATTGCAACAAAGCCAACGTTAGCATTAATAGCTAGGGATGAGTACTGAAAACCTGATATTAAACGAAATTTTTTTAAGACCAGAGTATCAATAAGCTCCAACGTTATCTGTTCTGCTCTCTGTACTTGAGACATTAAGAAAAGAGACCCTGCTCTTAGTGACCATGGCTTAGAGAACTAATCATTCAAAAGTGTGGTTAAATCTTTTGTACATAATGACAGAAACATCCAGTGAAAGTCTGTCACATACAGGTGGAGAAATGTACAATGTACAGTTTTCACCCGTCTGGGACCTTCTCGTCACTTTCTGGTACTAAGTCACTGCAATGTTCAGTCTGTCCTGAAGAAGTAGCTGCTCAGAGGACGTATTATAACCTTTTGTCAAATAAACATATAAACACAATGATGGCTGAAGCTCTTGGTAAGTAAACAGCTGCTAATGCTAACATTAGCTGTGTAGCAATAGCAAAACCCTACAAATAGCTCCTTAAGCAACATTATTCTTCAGTAGATGGTGAACTACTTGAACCCTGTGACGACACTTAGAGCTGCATGAAGTGATGTTGGTGAACAGGCAGGCTGGACTTCATATAATGACTGACAAAGTAAACATGACATGTTTCTACATTACATTCAGTCTAATGTACATTTCCACAGTATGAATTGCATCAACACAACAAAGTCATGTGACACTGAGCAGGAACAGATCACAACACCTGTACAGTCTCACATACACACCATTTGTTGGACAGTACCTGAATGACGGCAGTGTCTGGTGTGTCTTCTGACGGGCCCCTTGACATGGTTCTTTTAGTCTTAGCCCGGGGCCCTTCCCTGGGTTTCTCCATTACCCAGGAAGATGATGACTTGATGTTGTCATCATGATCTGGCCTGTGTGTTACAGCAGTCACAGCTCAACACAAGAATAATACTACAGTGTAAGTATTACAGATAACAGACTGACAACTGGAACTTCAGTTGATAAAATCTGACCATTCCTAATGATTTAGTACTGACCTGTGTTCCATAGTCCACAGTTGTACAAGCTGTAAAGCTACTGTGCAATAATTGATATACACTGTTCTGCAAGTATTAATTTCGAATGAATTTGTGAATTGAACAGTAACTAGAATCACCTCCGTGTGGTCGTATCCCTCTGCCACTCTGACTAGTTTCAGATTACATCCCTGTTTATCCAGAGTCATGTCAACTATGAACCATTTGTGTGAAATTGTCATAATTGCTGTGTGAAGTCTTGAGTTATGATTAAAAACGTTGCACTGACCTTGACCTTTGACCACTGCAATCTAATCAGTTCAACCTTGAGTCCAAGTAAATGTGCCAAATTTTAAGAAGTTCTGTCAAGGTGTTACTAAGATATCATGTCCACGAGAAAGAGATGGACGGACAGACAACCCTAAAAAAAAAAAAAGTCTCGGACCTCGCCGGCGCAGAGGGATAAAAATCGAGGTGATGAAAATGGAAAGTGAAATGAAAAATGGAGTGAAAGATTATCAAGTGATTTGACGAATTTAAAGCTGATTTGATGAAAACATAGCCAAGTTTCATCATATTTCCTGCCTCACATTCATCGTTCATCATTCACAAAATTTACCATTTATCATTTCAGGGAAGTGATAGAATATATATATATTATAATAAAAATAGAAGTAATGTAAATACTTATGAAGAATAGATTGATAAATTCAAAATTTAAATGTTTACTCTCTCACCTGAAAAAATATCTAAACTTAAGATTCTCTGTCAGCACTTCTCTGTCTGGATTGGGCAGAAGCAATAAAAACTGCTGTAAACAATTAATGCAAAACCCTTTTCCAAATAAAATGTGAATCAAGAAGAATTTTTCAAATCAACTGACAATTTTTTATCAGTTTCTCAATTCCCATACATTTCATCACTTCCATTCATTTTTTCAGTTGTTTTTTGTTACGTCCTCCCGTGAGGCAGCTTTCCTGAAATGATAAATAAATGATGAATATTACTCAGTCAATGCGATGAAACACAGTTGTTTTTGTCATTGTTTCAACCAAATCGGCTCTAAAATCACTTGATGAATTTATCACTCTATTATTTATTTCACTGGCATTTTCATCATCTCCATTTTTGTTAATTTGTTAATTTAGTTCATTTTTGTTACTTCCATCCTTCATACACAGAAGTCTGAATAGAAGAAGCTTGTCAGATGAGGTGAAATGCCTTTGACTGAGCACCTCTCTGTACCCATTATACAACCAGCTAATTTATTGATCTGAATAAATACTATGTAGACTGCCAGTGAGCAAAATACATACATAGCAGACAAGCTTGGAATCAAACCCCCTACAGATGGTCTCCATCTGAGATCAGGATCTACTTTGCTACCTATGAGGCAGACTTATGTTTCTCTGTCAAGGTTCAAGCTGTCCCAGCCCTGAGGCCTCCAACATCCACATTGATTTATAGTCCACAGTAGAATTTCCCCTTCTGATTGTTATTACAGCAACACAACACTAAAGTTGCGTTGATGAGTCATGAATTATCAGACAGTGTGGATTATCCTCCTCAAGTAATCATGAGTCTTTGCCTTTGTATGGTGGCCCCTGAGGACAAAGTACATACAAAAGAGAAAGCACAAATATTTAAGGGCAAGTTAACATAGGAGCCTAATTTTGAAGAAGTTCCATCAAGGCGTTACTTGGGGTTACTTGTGTCAATGAGATTGAGATTGGTGTACAGCCCAACGGACAACCCAAAAACAATATGCCCTTGGTTCTGACTGTCGCCAGCATGGAGGAATAGAAACACGAGAAATACCAAAACACAAGGAGTGAAAATACAAACATGAAGTTAGACACGCTCAAATACAAAGACGCAGATACAGAAACAGAAACAGGTGTAATTCAGCAGTGATGGGCTCGATTTGGACAAGTAGCTACATTATACAGAGCTGAGGGTCTGATGGTCATTCCATTGAACAATGGAATATTATGTACTTAGGCTCAAATTCAAATATTCCACGCTGTCAAAAAATCACATGCTGCCATTATTTTGACTGTCTTTGGAGATGCTGGATTAGCTTGTCTCCTGCTATCCTAGCTAGCTAGTAAGCTTGTGGGTAGGCAACATTACCCTAAGATTACTTAGCAAACTAGCCAACAACACTTCTAATAGTCCAGCTGAAAATGTGACTCACAACTTACAAATTACTTTGAGAGTTGTGAGTGTGTGTGTGTGTGTGTGTGTGTGTGTGTGTTTGTGTTTGTGTGCGTGTGCGTGTGTGTGTGTGTGTGTGTGTTTGTGTGTGTGTGTGTGTGTGAAATGAATGCGTTACCCTTCATGTTTGTACTTTCTCTCTTGTATGTGCTTTATCTTCAGGGGCCACCGTAACTTTGTGCTGGAGAGCAGCGATCATGGCGAGGAGGGTTTTGGTAAATCACAGAACATAAAGCTGCTTGTCATTTACCTTTATTCATCACACACTGCCATCGCTGAACGCATGTTGGACGAAGCACAAGCACATCAAGCAGTGAAGTCACAGCTGTATTTCAATGTCGTAGCCCTGACATGCAACACCTGTGAAGAGGTGCACATCAGCTGCCCTCTGTGGAGCTCAGTATTCTAATCACAGCTCAGTAGAGAAGCATAAATCTGCCTCTAGTCCCCAATCATAGTTTTGATAATATCCAACCCTGGCCTTGATGTGGTGAACATGACCTGTAAACTGTAAACCTCCACTCATGGTGCATCAGGTCTACCTTGTCTTTATTGTTTTGACACAGTAAATGTGAACTTAGATTTTAGTTTTGATTGTGTTTATTGGATTCATGCGGTAAATGACATCGTAGTGTTTGGTCTTGATGTGATAAACCTGACCTCAGTCTCAGTCTCAGGACCAGACTTAATGTAAGCTTTTTTCAGGTGCAGATGTGATGCATTCTACCCCAAACATCTGGACTGTATTTATCAGACAGGCGCAGCAGGCTGGAGTCTCTCTCACCTCTGTGTGTGAGCATATAAGTGAGGATCACATAAATGATAGGAGGAGACATTTTGTATTCCACTGCAGTCACTGAGGTCGTTCAATTGGCCACAGTCAGTTTTGCAGGGTTAGTTCTCCGCCTCTGAAGAGTCATAGTCATAAACAGTGCAAGAGCCACAAGTGAGGTTGTAGCAGCGGAAAGCAACATGCGTTAAATATAGAACTACAACGACTTTATACACAACAGAGCTTTTCTTCTGTTTCTTCTTCTATTGAAATGAACGTTTTGCCTCAGTATTAACATCAACACCATCTCCACCTCCTCCTGCCCCCAGCTGCTCTCTATCTCTCTCTATCACCGTCTTTTCTTGCCTGAGGTTGGTGATCTCATAGAAATCCCACCATGTTCTCTTCACTCACAGTCTGGTGTTAAGAGCTGCTGCTGCTGCTGACATGTGTCCAGTCTCAGTAAATCTGTCTCTCAGTATACGTAGACTGGGACCCAGAAGTAAAGATCCTCTATGACAGAAGATGACACATTACAGGCAGCGCTGGTAAGACATGGTCTACACTTCCTGTCTCCTAGGGCGAGGTCGCTTGTTCATGTCAAAACATAACGATACAACACTAGATACAGTATGAATTTAAACCTGATTTTGCTGCTTGTTTTACTCTGTTATCTTTTATCTGATCAACCCAGAACAAGATCGTATCAGTCTAATACTCTCTGTTTTCCCTCCGTCCCCAGTTCAATAATAATAACAACAGTAACAGTATTATGAAGCAAAGAAACATGTTTTATTTCAGATTAAATTTTTAATTCATTGTTATACCTATAGCTCCTTCTAAACTTCTGTGGTTACAAAGCCTCAGCAGCTCTACTGCAGCAGTGAAACCAGAACCAGAACCAACAGAGAGAAGAGATCTGTGTTGACAGTTTGTTGCTGAGACAGAGACACGTCTGGATAAAGTTAATTTTCTCCTGATTTGTCTAAAAATGTCATTTTAATGTCAGAATGTTCTGAAGATCTGTGGCTTATGAAAAATTGATCTAATATTTATTTCAGTGATTATGAGGAGAAAAAAATCATAATGTGTGATCAGGTTCACTTCTCCTATTGGAGTCAACAGACTCAGACCTGCTGCTGGTCTCCTAAAAGGGGGGGGGGCATCAACTCCTTTCTCAACTGTCTCTGCCCAAAGTAAATCTAGCACCTCAGTCTTTATTTCTAAAGGGTAAGTCAGAACTTCATTTTTAGCCTGGATGTTTCTACACCTAATCCTGCTGTAACCTTCATTGAAAGTGTTCTATGTGAAGCCACACTTGGTTTTTACTGTGGATGTAAAAGACCCCAGTGTAGTTTTTAGTCTTGATGTGGAACATGAAGTTTGAGTTCCTGAAGCGTTGAACTTACAGCGTGCCTCCGTTGTTGAGCGAGTTGGAGCTAGGTCTGGTCTGTGGCTGGAACTTGGCATGGGGTTTGGGCTGAGGCTGAGGCATGCTGGGAGGCTCCACACTGTTTAACATCATAGGCATGTCTTTCTCCTGCATGTGAGTCAGAGGCAGCAATGGCTTAAACAGAGTCCCGACCTTGCACTGTGGAGGAGAGATGGATGGCAACATGCTGAAGACATTCAGAGGCAGCAGGCAGAATATTGTTGGACCCAGATGTGACAACAGCGGCTCTGTGCCGCCCAGATGTGGACACTGGGACCAAAATATTCATTTCTGGCAGTCATGCTTGTGTGTGGTACATTTGTGTGCATCTGCGTGAGTGTGTGTGTATGCGGAAACAAACATACACCTTTGCATGTGCAAGGTTGCAAATAACCACCAACCAGCAGCCAAACGCAGATTCATCTTTGGCTGTGGCTTGTGACTGTGCCTTTAATACAAACTGTGTCATTAGGAAACCAATCAGTGCTTTTACTCTGAAAACATTCAACTGGGGAGCCAGTTGATCGAATTTGTAATCCACCATTGGATTGCTGGTGGATACAAAAGCATCTTTGCATGTGTGTATTCATGCAGTCAATACAGTGTGTATCAATGTGTGCAAACACAATGTAAGTGGGAACATGCATAAAGGTTTGCACTACTGCATCCAGTGTTTGTGTGCTTTAATGTGTGTGTGTGTGTGTGTGTGTGTGTGTGTGTGTGTGTGTGTGTGTGTGTGTGTGTGTGTGTGGATGTTGTACCTGGGTTCCAGATGAGTTCTGCTGCTGCTGCTGCTGCTGCCTCTGTGCTCGATTCTGCTTGTAGTAGTCGAAGATCATGAGGGCTGCATAAACCTTCCCTACTGTCAGTTCATTGGCTGAGGAGGTGAGGAGAGAAGAAGTGATGTGAGGAAGGTAGAGAGGAGGGAGAGAAGAGGAGATTCTGCTGACTCATTCATCCCTCCACCATTCATCTCTGCTGGCTGCTTGTCTCTCTAATGGTTTAGTTTTAGAAAACAAACTTTTTAATGTGAATGATTTGATTAATTCACAGCAGGGAATAAAAAAGGAACAAAACAAAACAAAACAAGCATCATGACAGGATTGACAGTGTAGTTAGGTGGTGCCAACAAAAGGTGGCAGCAAAAACAAAGCTCACAACTGTCTGAATTTTTTTCTTTTGCATGCACTCAGGTGGATGGACACACTGACATATACCATGAAGTCTAAAGATGACCGGGTCTTCTCTGTTTGGGCCCCCCCCCCCCCTCTTTGGAGCAACCTCACAGAGGAGATTAGACTGGCGAGCTACTCAGCCTCTTTTAAATTCCACTTAAAGACAGATTTTTATAGGTGAGCTTTCTCAGGACTCAGGGTCTGAATCTACTTCTGTCTAAATCTATTATTATATTAAGTCATCCTCCTGTTTCTTATCCATTAATTTAATAATTTTAGACTGTTTTATGTCATTTTTACTGAACCTCACTAGTCTGTGGTTCCCTGATGGTAGAATGAGCTACTGAGTGCTATCAGAACAGGGCGTCCCTCTCTATCTTCAAGAATTTCTTGAGGACTCATCTCTTCCAAGATCACCTCCTTTCCTAAAACCCTAACCTGTCTACCTAGCACTTACTATGCATTTTTGGTGCACTTCCTTATACAATCTCCTTGCACCTATTAAATAGATGTAGGAGTTAATACTTACACCAAGGTTTCCTACTGCACTAAAGCTTACTGAAGTTCTTCACTTGGAAGTTGCGACTTCCAAAAGACTAAAATGGACATCTAATGACCACTAGAGTCTGGCTCCAACAGGGGGTCAATCCCCATAGAATCACATGTTACAATGTCCATCTTTACAGCAGAAATAAACATGTTTACAGCCTGGTACAAAAACTGTTTTGGTCTCTAGAGCTAATTTCCTCCTTCATGACACCTGTGGCTTCAAGTTATGGAGGATTAAGGGCGTGGCCACTTTGAGTGACAGGTGGGTGACTGTAGTCTCAGCTCCACATGTGCACCTCTTTGTCCCCCCCATTAGCTGGGGGTTCAGTGGTGTCAGGTACTGGCAAGATGGCAACGGTGGAGCAGCTCACTCTGAACAGCTCTTCTTTATTTACAGTCTATGATCTCCTCCTCCCCTGTTTGTTTGTATGCGTGTGTGTGTGTGTGTGTGGGTGTTTGTGCGTGCGTGTGCACACCTGGTGGCAATCTACTCATCTCCTCCTGCTCAAGTGCTCCAGCTCACCCTTCACTCCGCACCAGATTGTCTGGCCTGCTTCAGTGGTAGAAACTCTCTATGCTGACCTGGTTTCCCCTGTGCCTCAGTGATCTCTTCATCCAGACCAGAACTCCAGACCACACCTCAGACCTCAGTCTTCAGCCAGACATCATCTCACCTCCTCAGCCTGCCTCCATCCTCGCCCTTCACCACCCCTCACCAACCCCATTCAACTATTTACCTAATAAATACCTTGCCAACACTCCCACTGAGTCTTGTGTCTGCATCTGGGTCCAAAGATCACTCGAACCATCACGTTCAGCTTTCTATTGTATCGACATCTCTCCTTTGAAAACTGCATACGCAAATGTTTTTTCACAATCCATCAACGGGTCTGACAGATGGTGAAGAGGTGCAAATCCAAAGCACCTTGTTTAACATAAAAGCAGCCAAATACCTGATACATACTGTCACCATAGTAACGACCCAGAGTAATTAATGACATACGTTATAAAGAACTTGTCTTTAGTAGGTTGAGCTGTTCAGGTGACTGTGTGACAGCTCGTGTTCAAAATGAGAACAATGGTGACATGCTTACGTTTATGTGGTGTCACCAGCAGGTCCATGGTCTTCTGTGAGAGGTTGGGCCACACTGTGGACAACTCCTTCTTTAACTCAGCATCAGACAGTCGCTGAGCTACCATACCTAGAAATCCACAGAGAAAAATAAACAGATTTTTTTACCTTCTTTATTAAAACACATACTGTAGATCAACTGCTGGTCACAGCACAACACACCGGACAGAGTTTAAAAGAATGGGAGAGAAACATCTTCCAAATAGTTCAATCTAGATTTATGACACAAAGCAAGAAAGTGTTGTGAAGGAGTCGAGGCACAAAGAGAAATCCTCAATAAAAAACACTGATAGAGCCCAACACAGCACAAAGGCTGTCAAACACACCGTCACTGTGGTTGGGACTGGCTGCTGCAGTGAGGTGATGAATGTAGACATGTGTCATCTGTCATTTGCTTTTACCTCATCAGTTATTTGGAAACATTTTAAGTGCTTTGCAAAAATTGGCATTATTTGATAAAGTAGTTAAATTAGTGACCCACTATATAGTCAACCTGCATCATATGCAGATCATACTTATCTAGTTCAGAGGTGGGGCATTAAACCACATACAATTTCTCACCATTGAGCAGACAGTAAAAAAGAACTAAGTCATCTTCAGTTGGTCTGAAATGCAGCTGGAACCTTTATTGGCTCAAGAACACAGTTCATCTATAACCACTCACCAGGTGCAAGATATGGACTGAATTGTTGGGTCTCACAAATAATATTATAAAAAGAATGGTCTAAACCAGAGGTCTGTACTATGAAACAGGTTCAGCATACCCAGGATAACTTTCAGTTATCGGGTTTAACTGTAACACTGTCTGTCCTGATAACCTGTACTGTGAAGCTGGTTATCACCTGGTTCAGTTAACTCTGGGTTTACCTGTCCAGGTACAAACACGTTCATGTGAAAGAGGCGGCGTTGTTAATTATAAGAAACATCGTCACAACCATGAATAATGTGTTAATATGATATGAGCACGAACACTGATACCTGCAGGTAAATTCAGTTATAGTGACATCATAAAGTGATATTCAACAAGGTGAAATGTAAACAACATGATCACATGACAAAAAAGAAACACTGGAAATAAATTGTAATTATTAAGGTCAGACTGAAGATATATTGTAAATAAGTGCATTAATTATCAGTAAGTTTCTTACTGAGCATTTTCTCTTTCATCTGATGATGAACAAACTGTTATGAACATGTGAAGCAGATTAAACAGTTAAAGTTGATGTCAGACTTTGTGCTGCTTGATGAGTCAGTCTGACTGAAATGTTCATTTATAATCATGGACCTATTAAACAGTGTGTGGATCACTGTTGGTTTAAAGAAGATTAATGAATCTGTGTTGACTTGGCTCTGAGCTTCATTTCTAACGTTCAACTTTAGGTGTCACTGTAAGCAGATATATAGTTTTTCCTTGTGATTCATCAGCCTATGTAAAAGCTCAACTAGGGACAAGAGTTAAGAGAAAATTTGCAAAAGCAATAAACTCTTTGTATTGGAACTATGTTAAAAGGCATCATACCTATTAAATAAATAAATAAACTAAAAGACTAAGCTAAAATTTAACTATAGCCTTTGATTCAATTCAACTCATTTAAATTCTTGCGATGGAGAAAAAGAGAGAGCCTTTACATGAGTCCATTCTACTGTTTTTTTATTATCTTCTATTGTAATGGTGCGTGTTGTGTTTCTCTGACCCGAGGCCAGTTTGATCTCCAGGGCGGTGCGAATCAGGGCCATCAGGGTGGACGTGAAGTGGACGGTGTTGTCGTCAGCGATGGGCATGTTCATTTTGACCAGACGCTGAGGAGAGGAGACGGGTGGTGACAGATACACGTTAGATCAGGTAGTGATAACGAACCAATCAGAACATAAAATTCACACAGAGAAATCAATCTGTGTGCTGCTGTGATCAAACAGCCGGCATGAATTCATTCTAACTTTGGTTTCATGTTTTACATTTGGCCACGTTGATAAAATGTTACTGTGACTCAGGTCAGCACACAAAAAGCTTTCTCTACAGGTACGTACAGAGGAGACAAACTAGACATTCACATTCACTGCTATTGGCTACAGTATGCACTATGCTGCAAGTCAAAGTGCACTGGTGCAAGACTGACATTGACCGAAAAGAAGGTGAGAGAAGGCATGTAAACGCATAACCATGGAGGTGCCTCGGCAGTCGCAGGAGCTCGACTCTGTGGTTGTCAACTTGGAGTTGAGGAGGTTGTGTATACTCTACATGTGTAGTGGCAGCTAGCAATACAAAGTGTCCATTCCACCAAGCTTGGGCAGCCTTAGCAGGAAGATTTGGTTCACATAGGACTAATGGCACCACTAGATGCTACAGATATAGAATGATGTGTTGCTGAAAGAGTTGAGCTCCCCTGAACACAAAAAGCATTCATATACATGTGCTCTCAGTGGCAGTGCAGAGAGTAAGAAAGACCAGAGTCAGAATGAGACGTGGATGGAGAGCTCAGGGGCAAGCAAGTACACACACACACACACACACACACACACACACACACACACACACACACACACACACACACAAACCTTCTTGTCTTAGTATATTCATGGGTACCCACCATTGATATAATGCATTTCCCAGCCCCTTGACCCTAACCTTACCCATCAGAACTGAAAGCCTAACCCTAACCCTGACCACACAGCTCACCCTGACCCTGGTCTCATTCTACCAAGCCTTATGCTGAGAACACACTGCCTATGTTGCATGTGTGTGGCGGCTGTGTCGCTGAACTGCTGAGGCTCGCACACATGTGTGTGGGTTCACATTGACTGCATGTCCACGTGATCTAGAACCTGTGTGTCCACCTTAACCTGTTAACATCGGACAATCTGCGACCGCCACACATACGCAACACAGCCACTGTGCCCAAACCCTAAAACAGGTCCCTAGAGTATAGTAGAACAAGTCCCCTCCCCACCCCCCACCCCCCCGACACACACACATACAGTACATACATTGCAAATGGTCACACATTCACCCAAACATACGTACACACACAACCACAGGCTGCACAACCAATTAGAGACAGTGACATCAGCAGCTGGAAACTTCAAAGACCAGCAGCTGTCTAAAAATAATGACATCGTATATGCTGCGTAGTAAATCTTAACCAGGTCTCATTTGTTTACATTTTTACATGTTGATTGATACATTGTGTTCACATTGACTTCATACAACCTCAACCTGGTATCAACATGCAATCCACATCTGGATTTGTTATCTGATAATGACGTCTGATCAGGGGCCTTTGAATTTACAACTGGGGCCAGATGCATAAAACTCTGTAGATTCATGACTAAAACTATGTGTACACACAAATCCAGAAATATACATACACATTCTTTACATGAGAATGAGAAGCCGTGCGTACACATGGTTTTGCTTTATAAATCTCACTCATTGAGAAATTGTGCAAGAAATGGTGTACGCATGGTTTTTGTGTGTCCACATCATTTATGCATCTGGCCCCTGGTGTTGTATGAAGATGTGGATTATTAGGAAGTCAGAGCTCATGACAGAAAAGGAAGCCAGAGGAAGCCTGGAAAACATTTCTGGCACATGCGCCCAGTGAGCTTTAATTTGAATGAAACTGGTTAATACATTATACATGCATGGAAGACATCTATATATAGCCTTGCTAACTAGGCTTATAGGTGCCAGTAGGGAAGCTTGCTAGCCCAACTGTTAGATCTGACCAGAGCACATGATACGTTCTCAAACTGTGCTCAGTTTTCCTGATTCAGACAGAATATTCAGATACCAATCACATATCAATATCAGGAAGAAATTGAATCTATGTCTTGTTTATCTTAATCAATATCAGTAAAAAATAAATCAATAAAATCACAATCACAGTGACATATTTTTGTTAATGCTGTGCAGCAGTAAACATTCTAACACAGAAAAACACAGACACACACACACAGACACACACACACTCATACACACACACACACACACACACACACACGCACAAATATTTCCAACAGTGGACAGACTGAGGTGACTGCGAGACAGAATGAGAGGGAAAAGGGAAGCAAAGACAGAACCACGAAGTGAAAAGCAATGCATAGAAAAAATGTCCTCCACTGAAAAGCAACAGAAGCTACACACACCCACCTGCTCACACACACACACACATACACACACACAAACACACACACACTCCACACTGCTCCACAAAATAAAACCCCAACCAGGGTGAACCATTCAAAGGAAATAGTGACATAGGAGCAAGTTTCCTCCATAAACATAATATATCTTAATTAACATGTTAATAATTAACAAGTCTGTTTAGTTAAGCTCTGTCATTATCATTAGTGATGGGTAGTAGCCCACACAAGAAGCTATGCTCAAAGAAACAGTAAAGACAGTAAAGATGAGGGAGGGGCTTACACCAAAAATATCAGAGCGCTAGCAAAAACAAAGTGAAGAAACGGGGGAACATTGCAGAGCACAGACACTGGCTTGAGTTCACGCCAGTGGAAGAAAAGGTTGTCGAGCACAGGGAAGAAGGTAGAGGAGGAAGAGGGTCTACCTTGTAGGAGACTCTTGGCGGACATTTCTTTCCCAAACCTAAGGGTGGGGACATGTGGAGCAGCATCTGATACATATCGAGGTACTTGATACGGCCACTTCACAGGGAAGGAAATCAAAAAGAAACAAAACCCAAACAGAGAAGGATGGGGAGTTTGAGAAGGAGGAGAGGAACGAAGGGAAGAAATCAACAAAACAAGAGGGAAACAATAATGGAAAGGAAAAACAGAAATCTGTTGTTAATAGATTTCCTAAAGTGAAATGTAGAGTGGATGACATCCTCGGCCACTGTAGCGGGGCGCTGGGATGCATCGCTGTGGAGTTTAGGATCCCTGAGAGGAAACATGGGATGGTAAAGAGTGAGTCTGGTGGGGGAGGGGAGAAGGGGAGAGAAGAGAGGAGGATGGGCTGACCCAAGACACAGGATGCTGATGGGAGGGAAGAGAAATGACAGCATTGTAACGGGGATGTCTGCCTCAGCATGCTTGCAAACATCCCACTGGTACTTCAACCAGGGTTCACAGAGACAAAGGTTTCAATGCCTCATAGCCTGACTTTCCTCCAGCGAACATCTTCATTAAAAGATCAAATCATATTCTTCATAAGGAGTTTAATCTGATTCAGCTGTTTTAAAGATCTGAATGTAGTCATCACAGAGGGTGCTTTTTATTTCAAAGTCTTGAAGACTTTTCAAGACTTTTCCTTTCAAGAATTTTTTAAACTTTTGAATCTGATAGAAATGGGAAGTAAAATGTGTCGGCCATCTTAAAATTACAGACAAGAGAAAGTAGGCATGGCAGGCGGCATGTTGAGACAGTGCCGTGGCTTTGAAAGCTTTGTTTCCACTCCGGCATCATCAACCAAAGCCAGTCAGTTTGGAGGGGCAGGTGCTAGACTAAAGGCGATTTCATTGGTGCACAGCCATTCAGTTAAAAGTTTCTTGGTATAGAGGTACACAAAGCACCCTAGTGACGGAAATGTCTGGTATTTGCAAACCTTGTATGCTACCCTATTAGGGCAGTTCTTCCCTAAGCCAAGGGGGGGTGAGATAACGCGTAACAAATTGTACATATCCTTATAGGAAATCCGTCCACTGTGGAAAAGAACAAGCACATAAATAAACAAACGTTCAGGACAGCTTCAAATAAAACAATGATCATCAGTGGGCTCACTGCATACAACAAGGTACAGGCATGAGGCCTGTGTATGAGGCCAGGGAAGAGAGCAGTAAGGTTAGGGCGTCTAGTCCCTCCACTTTACTTTGTATGATATTCTCTGGGGCTCAGGGGGAGGTTTGAACATACCACGCAGCCGGGTCGTACTCTGCCCAGACCCGGATGAACTCATCAAGGTGATGGGGTCCCAGGATGGAGGAGTCTCTGGTTAGGTACTCAAAGTTATCCATGATGACAGCCACAAATAGGTTCAGCATCTGGAACACAGACATTAGGTTGAGTTCTGTGTTCTAGCCTGCTTGCACCGCCATTTTGAAATTTTGGAGGGAAACAAATTCATCTCAGTGGCACTGGCATGATGAGCTGAAATCCTCACACACCTTCAGTGTTAAGTTCAACTTTGGTGAACTTTGACGTGCCAAGTTGTACAGTTGACCAATCACATGTTGACAGTGCTGACCACTGAGGGAACAGAGATCCTGAATGTCCACAGCTAAGGAACCATCCACTTTTATTTAACCCTGCTCTGATGGAGCACCATAGTTTGAAAGAAAAGTTCATGTAAATGTTACAAATAAACTAGCAGTGAAGCTTTAGTATGCCAGCTAGCTCTCCAAGCTGGCCAAGTGAGCCAACTAGCTTGAAGAGCTATATTTGAGCATTTATGTTATGTTATTTATGTTTATGTTATGTTCCTGGCTGGCTAGCTTACTAGTGGTTAGCTGGCTAGCTACAGTAGATCATTATAGTCACTATGGTCCTGTTAAGACCTTGCATTAACATCCGTCTCAGGTGATCCAATCACAAGTGGACAGCTCTAAGTTCAAGTGGGAACGCACCCGAGACACATTGAGGATGCATTTGAGATCCGATCACTCAGACCACATTCAGAGGTGGTCTGGACCACATGTGGCCACATTCTTTTAGCAGTGTGAACACAGATGTGTCCTGGACCACACTGAAGGACCGCCTCCTCCACTGATGTCCTCTGTCAGAGTCCCAACACAGTCAACCCCAAAATCCCTTTTACTGTTTCAGATGGATAAAACCTGATTTCAGTGTGAGAGCTGTGAGCAGAGCATTGATTAACTCATGCCCCACCCTCTCTCTCTCTCTCTCTCTCTCTCTCTCTCTCTCTCTCTCTTACTACACATTGACAATGGACCGGTCTGTCTCTTTGGCTAAAAACAAAGATGCATACATGTTTATTTGCATATAAAACGGGGAAGTGAGATCCAATCACAAGTGGTCACTGAGACACATGTGGAGACACATTTTAAATCCAGGTGTGAACAGACGTACTTAGAGCTGACCACCTGTGATCAGATCATTGATCATTGTGTATCTTTTGCAACTCACTGTGGCAAAGCTCACCAGTCCAGGAAGTGAGGTGTGTAAAAAAGCATTTTATTTCAAATGCATGCTTGCAAAACATGAACTTAATAAGAAGAGCCACTGTGGTTCATGGAATATAAAAACTACAGCTTTTATATTTATTTACAATCCTGGTTACCTGACAGAATAAATCACAGGTTAGCAGTTACAGTGGAGGTGTGTCAGTACTGACCAGGAAGGAGCAGAGGAAGATAAAGGAGACAAAGTAGAAGTAGGCAAAATCACTGCCACACTCTTTCCCATGGGTCCCTGAGCGTTCATCACAGGCTCGGTGGCTCAAACATGACAACATGATCTCGTGCCAGGCCTCACCAGTTGCACTCCTGATACACAGAGACAGAGAAACACAGAGGAGACATAAAGGACTGGCAGCAGTTCAGGACTGTCCGCCCATCTGGGAGTCCAAGGGATAACCTTGTTTCTGGAAAACAGTCTGTATTTATTATTCAAGTGATCCAATATGCTCATGAGTCCAACGGGATAATTTACTCATTATCAAATTAATATAAATTGGAACCCTTGAATTTGCTAAGGAATCAGTGGGACGAAGATTTAGAGATCGTTTTCCTGATGAAGTTTGGAAGAAAGCTTTAGAAAGGATACATTCCTCTTCAATCCGCTCACGACATAGAATCATCCAGTTTAAGGCCTTGAATCGTCTTCGCTGGTCTGAAGCCAAGATGCTAAATTCATGCCGCGTCAACCCTGTGTTTGAATGATGCAGGGAAACACCAGCCACCCTTTCACATATGTTTTGGTTCTGTCCAAAACTAAAAATAGTTTCTGGCAGTTGATATTTAAAAGCTTCTCAGATGTTTTGGAGGTACCAACACAACCTTTTGCTGTTCCTGCAGTGTTTGGAGCACCTCCACAAGACGCACATCTTAGTCAGCGGGCAAAAAATATGATAGCTTCAGCATCTCTTTTAGCTAGATGACTTATACTGCTTAAATGCAACGATACATTTCCTCTAGCTTTTGGTCTACAGATTAAACAATAATAATAATAATAATAACCTTTATTTATAAAAGGTTATATAATATAAAGACCTTATGCACCATTTGACATTGGAGAAAATTCACTATACTTCGAGAGGGTGTGCTCAGAAATTCCATGCTTTTTTTTGTAGGGAAAATGGATGCAACGGATACTGCAGTTCTGTAAAACTGACTACTTTGTTTTTGTTATTACTCTCTGTTGGAGCAGATCAAAGGGGGAGAGGACACATTGTCTTTGTCCACCTGTATCAGTGATTATTACATTCTGTATGACTTACCAATAAAAACTCTTTGAATAATAATGTGCTCATGAGATATGTACTGTATATATATACTGTATACACACACACACACACACACACACACACACACACACACACATATATATATATATATATATATATACACACAAATAAATAATAAGGTTTCTTGTACCTGAACAGCAGCATGAGAGCCTGGAGGAATGTGCGGAAGTTGTTGTGGTGATTGATAGCTGTGTCTTCATTCAGCTCGATGTTGCCAAACACCTACCGCACAGACCACAGACACAGTGAGGGGAATGGATTTTTTTTTCACATTTAGGCCACAACATTTTAATATTGAACCCCTGTGTTGAACATCATGGCATCACGCACCTGCATCCCAATGATGGCATAAATGAAGAACAGCATCGCAATCAGCAGGCAAACATAAGGCAGGGCCTAAAGGGAACAAGGGGAAACCAAAACACACTTAATTATTAATATGTACTCTGAATTATTCCAGGCAGGATGTTTGAGTTTGTGTGTGCAGGGAGATACTGTATGTGGCTGTGTGAGTTTGTGAAAGTAAGCGCCTCTGTGTGCACATGGATGTGGATGCTAATATAGTGTACATGCAGTGTGTGTGCGTGCACATCAGTGAGCGTGTGATAACGTGTGTGAGCACCTTGAAGGACTGGACGAAGGTCCACAGCAGGATGCGGATGGTGTAGCCCTGCCTCAGCAGCTTGATGAGGCGAGCTGCTCTGAACAGCCTTAAGAAGCTCAGGTTCAGCAGCCTGTCCTGTGAGACACAGATGGGACATCACACACCCTTATCACTCACTGATGACCACACCCTCGTTAGAGTTTAATTGCTTAAAGTCACTTTAGCTGGTTACAAATGATCCTTTAACAAGCTCTGAACAAAAACATACAAGGCCCAGCTATAAACACATTCAAGACGCATTAAAGATTTAATCACCAAACCCAAGCTGAACGTGGTCACATCAATAACAAAAAAAAATCAAAATGTTGATGTTTTAGTCTTTTATTTATGCTCAAATTTCATTTATTTATCGATGTTATTAATAAGTTATTGAATTAATTTCAAGTTTGTTTCAGCATTTGTAAATTCAGTGGTATATTTATACATCAGGACTGCGAGGCGTAAAGGAGGCATTCTCAACATACCAATGCTGAGTCTTTGTTCTAGATCAGGGCTGATCAACCACGTACTCTGAGAGGTTAAAGGTCAACATGTTTCCTGCAGCTGATAAAAATCTGGATCATATCTCGTGTGTGTGAATGTGATAAAGTACACTGCTGTTATACCCAAACTGATGCACATGTATCTGCAGCTAAAATGTCGGGGGGCATACGCAGTTTTTTTTTTATCTCACAACATATGCACATTGAATGACTTTCTGTCTGCAAATCTCTTCTGAATGCAATTTCAATATAAGCGCAAAATCCTCATTCCCCATTCTACGTAAAAATGTACTCTAATATAGACTACAGCTGAAGCTAATATAACATTCCAGCAATGTGAATTTGACAAATTAAGTTGGGCTTATTCAGAGTTCTGTGTGCTGTTACGCTCCCTCCACTGTAGGAAATATTGTCTAATTCTATATTAAAAAATGTGAAACTGTCCTTTAATCTGAAACAGTGTACACAGTGCATGATTATCACCCACTGGAACTGCGGTACACAGAAAGTAAACCTGCTGCTCCTCTAACCACACACACATTTGTACAGCTATCTTTGTGAGGACACTCTTTGACATAACGCAACCTCCCTAACCCATAACCTGAATCCTGAAACCAGGAATGTGTGTCAGAAAGTGAGGACTGGACAAAATGTCCTCACTCCAATGGTCTAAAAACGTGCAAAAGGGACTGTAAATACACAGTTCATGAATTGTGAAAGATGTGGTGACTGAATTAATTTTGTGTCAAACCAATTAAAACTGAGCTACAGTTTGACTGTAATGCATGACGGGGTAAAAGGGCCACATTGAGGGAAAAAAAATCAGAAATTTCGAGAATAAAGACATAATGTTACAAGAAAAAGTCACAATATAATGAGAATCAAGTGGTCATTTTAGGTTCTGTGCTGCTTTAGAGGGGAAACATCAGAAGCTTTAAAATGAGGAACGTGGAGCATCCTGTGAAGTTATACTGCAGCAGAGGTTTCACAAATATCATCATCATCATCATCATCATCATCATCATCATCATCATCATCATCATCATCATCATCATCATCACCATCATCATCATCATCATCATCATCATCATCATCATCATCATCATCATCAGCACCAGGACATTGAAGATTGTGAAGAAACGGAGTCTATTCTATTGTTAGACAGACAAACAGCAGCTGCCAGAAGCAGCTCAGGCTGCCACTGACTGTCCTTTCACCCGTTTGATTGGTTGATTGCAATATTCCTAAAAAATGTTTTTTTTTCTCAAAATTTACATTTTTAATTATTGTAATATTATGACTTTATTCTTATCATTTCAGATTTCTTTTTGTTCCTCAATGCGGCCCTAATACTCTGTCGTAGTCATGTGATGACATTCAGTTCAGACTTGTTCCATGTTGTATATGTTACAGAAATGTTACAGGACAGATTGTCATTGTGACTTCAGACATGAGACCAACACGTAGCATCAGATTTACTGTATGTAACAAGATGAAACGGACTAAAGTCAGGACACCAGTCAGCATCATTGTTTTTAATGCCTCTTTCATAAGCTCCACAGCTTTGTAGAAGTGCAATACTAAATAGCAGGAGTAACATTTTATAAGCTAAGAGCAGAGAACGGCAACAAAATGTCACTCACCGTAGTCTAGTGATGTTTGGAACCAGGGCATGGCAACACCAGTGACGACAATCAACAAGATGAAGAGAGAGAGAGACAAAGACAGAAAGACAGAGAGAGAGAGAGAGAGCGAGAGAGAGAGAGAGAGTGAGAGGGAGAGTGGCGAAGTAAGGACAGCAGAAGGGAAGAGGGAGAAATGAGAGAACAGGAACAGTCATATTGCACAACAGAATGTACACATATATACAGGTAAAGAAACTGTCAAACACAGAAAACACAGCAGAGTATTAAAGATCACTCTCTGAGGTCATCGTCATCCTCAGCTCCTGTATCAGTCCTCCATGATCAATCCTTCAATTAATAAAAGACTCGCAATCCCTCCCTCTCTCTCCGTCCAGAGCCATCAGGCTCCCTGGACCTCTGCCATGTGATTGTCTTTGCTGATATGGACAGTTAACTTGTTTGCTAAAAGCTTGCTGTACAGACTGTCCCTGACCCGGCCCATTACCATGACAACAGTGCTGTATGGATACAGTGCATTCAGCCTTGTCGAGGTGAGGAGTGAGGAGTGGGTGCTCTTACATTGATTTCAGTCACCAGGATGTCAGTGATGCTGCCCAACACTGTCACAAAGTCAAACACATTCCAGGCGTCCTTCAGGTAGTTCTGAGAAACAGCAGGAAATCATTAGTTGTTATCTATCATTCAGTACGTTGAGATTTGCTCCGTAACTGTTACTCACCAGTGGACCAAACGCAATGATCTTGAGGATGCACTCCAGAGAGAAGAGAGTGGTGAAGACGATGTTGAGGTTCTTCAGCATTACTTCATAGAAGTCTGGAGCTCCATGGAACTGAAAGACAGGGGTGAGTGGTGTTTTCCCTGCTGGCTTGTAGGTGTAACACTGCTAAAGGACCAGTTTGACATTTTGGGAAATGCACAGATACGTTTTTTACACCAAAATCATCAGGTATAAGCAGGTTTTTTAAACGCAGGTAAACCCGCTAATAAAAGTCGATTGACTCCTTTTCCACTGTCAGTCCAGTTTGTCTTTCTGATCGGACTGAGGACACACAACTGCAAGGAGTGATGTCATCACATGCTCTTACAGAGCACACACACAGACACAGTGTGGAGAGTGAAACTGGTAAAACAGATCCGTCACATCTCATCTCCTGGTTGTTGCTCCTGTAAAAGAGCCTCCGTGTGAGAAGCTTCGATTGGTGCTTGCATGTTTTTAAACTTATCTCAGGGCTGCAGCTCACTCTCAGAGGAAGGTGTAGCCGCTGTGTTTCTGGTTTAACAGCACCGTGCTGGACAGGTGACAGGTGTGTTTATAGTGTTTGTGCTCTGAAAGACGTTAGGGTAGAAAATGTGGTTCACATCAATGCCAATCAGAGACAAAAACCAGATTTTAGCAGGTCTTAGTGGGTTGTTTCGACCAGTGGAAAAGACACTTTACTCTCTTTCCTGCTGAGAATACAAGAGAAGATGCACTCTCAGTCACACTCTGTCTGTTAATATGATGCTACAGCAAACAGCTGGTTAGCCTACCTTGGCTTGGCCAACATCACCAGCCATAAAACCACACACTGTTTTTACAATTTGTGGTTTTGCACAGATTTAATAAATTACATATAACCTGCTGATTCTTTTTACCTTTGGAGAGACACAAAGTGGTTGTTTCCCTCTGTTTCTAGTCTTTATGCTATGCCAAGCTAAACAGCTGCTTGCTGTAGCTTCAGCTTTCAGTCTGAACATCTGGTTAGATCTCATGGAGAGAGGGAATATGTCTCATAATATCAAACTGTTCTTTTCCTGAGATGATAATTTCCAGGACTGACATTATAAAACATCTGACAAAGCTTGACCAACTACATCAAATCTGCAAAAGTCAAAAGTTATTACCTTCATCATGAGTACCACAGTGTTGAGAGCGATCATGATCATGATGGAGTATTCAAATGGAGCTGAGACCACAAACTTCCACATCCTGTACTGGAAGGACTGCGTGTTCTCTGGCATGTAGCGTGTCAAAGGTTTGGCATTAATTGCAAAGTCAATGCAAGCCCTCTGTAACAAAGAAAACACACCTCTGCTTCAGTGTCTTCACTGTTTGAAAGGAACTGCTCCCAAACCTCTGATACACTGCTGCCGATCATTCAAAATCGGCACTGATGTGAGCAGCTGGCATCCACAAGATACATGACTGATAAGCAGTTAGCCAAGATACATTTCGGTCCCAGGCACTAATTGTAGTTTAGAAACATTGAAAGTTTACAAGCCAGAAAAAGACTTAAACACCCCACACTGAACTGGTTTAACCAACACATACAGATTTCTTTAGTCCCAAAAGCCAAAAAGTCACATATTGAACTAACTGGTCAAATCCTGATTTTATAACTGTGACGTTGTCTGACAAAGTCACCAAACACACAAAAGAGATGTGATTTCAGCTGGATTTACTATAACATGATCAGAGAGAAAGTTAGAAGAGACAGACAGTCTTTTTTAAATTATTGTTGCAGGCTTTTGCCTTTGTGTTTAGTTATTCCTCTGCCTCCTTTAAATATAATGATACATGAAAACAAAGTAGAGTATTTGAAACAATGGAGGCGAGGCTCAGTGTATTGGAAGTGCTCCTCCTCTTCCCTGCAGTTCCCGAGCAGGCAGGAAACCAGAGCGGCTCAGCACTCCACTGACCAGTGGTGGAAATATCATCAGTCAGTCAATCAGTCAGTCAGTCAGTCAGCCAGTGACAATTGAGATTATAGGGCTGGCCCCACTGTTGCGGTCCAGCCAAAAATATGTATTCAGTGGCTAACATGAAAGGAGATACATGTGGGTGAAGAATAATTCAAACAGTTTGCTGTGACAGAAATGAGCTTCTCACTCTTCTGTGTGTTTGTGTGTCTCTGCTTTACCTCGTTCTTCTCCAAGCTGCACTCAGACAGGGCCTTGTCTCCCTGCTCCTGGAAGGTAATGATGATCAGAGCGACGAAGATATTGACAAAGAAGAAAGGGAAGACCACAAAGTAGACCACATAGAAGATGGACATTTCTATCCGGTAGCCTGGACTGGGACCCTGGTCTTCAAAGGTGGCATCCACAGAGTGCTTCAGTACACTGCAGGGAGAGTAAAGCACAACATGAAGTCTGAACTCAGTGCCACAGACAGAGCTACAATCTGACTTTGAGAAGAAGCTACAGTTTGGATTGTATAAACCATTGTTCAGCAACAGAATCATGAACAGAATTGCAATGACACCAGCAGGTCTTCAATAAGAAGGTCAAGTAACCATCCAGAGACCGTCTGATAACTGAAAGGTAAGAGTTCAGTGTGTTCCTCTCATGAAATGCTGCCAACACTGTTCTCTCCTTCAGCTCATTCTTTTTTCATGTGGCCCAAAAAAATACTGCTTCATGAAGCAACTATCTCCCGGCACTTTCTGCACACATCTGAAAAGCACGGAAACTGAACAAAACAGTTCCCTCCTTCCACTGTGTGCTGCCATCAACAGAATAGGTATCTGTATCTGTAGCCTAAAGATAGTGATACACAAGGCAATGTTTTGGTTATCTGATGAAAAACATAATGGGAAGGGTGATGTATCACTGCTCTTTCATTTTGCTTGGCACACTATTTGAGTGTGTGCCTGACTCATCACTGTCACACTGATGTTCACACCACAGCTTTCCTCCTGAACAGGGAATCTCCAGCAATTTAGTATCTTTTTTGAGAGACAGAGAAGGGTCCAAGTCATCTTTATTTTCTCTAGTGTGTCAAACACTGGATCCGACCCTGCCCATATATGATGTCTACGCTAAGTGAGATATGTTTTTTATGGCTACATCATTCCATCAAATGGAGATATTCCAGGTGTCCTATCCAAAATTCGAAACACATTTTCCAAAATTAAGCCTGATGTATTTTGAATCTGATCCTCTGATCCTGATCGCTGCGTGGGTCTACAGAGGTTAAAGTTCATTAATATGACATTTCAATTTGAGCTTGAAGCAAAATGACAGTAAACACCTGTCAGTTACATATAGAGGTACATTTAATATTTTTTTATGATTCCTCTCTGTACAGATTGTTAATGTTGTATGTTTGTTTAATATTTTACATTTGTCAGGCGGTCACACAGTTATGAATCATATTTAGATGAAGTTTTTGTTCATGTATTCTATTAATATTCTTGCATTTCCAATGACGAATTTTCCCACAGGAACCATTGAAGTTACATTTATGAATCCTGTTTTTTCACGTGTTAAATCCTTGACAGATAGGTACAGTACATGGGAGTCAAGTCAGCTGCACTTACGTTGGCCATCCCTCTCCAGTGGAGACAGTGAAGAGGGTCAAGAAGGCCCACAGCACATTGTCATAATGGAACTCATATTTTTTCCACTCTCTGGGCATGGCAGCTACCTCATCTTTGTCGTAGTCCAAGAACTGTCCTCTGGAAGACATGAAGGCACAAATAAAGCTGAGTGGGGACAGGCAGGTACAGGTACAGGGTCTGGTTTTGACCACACCAACTGTTACAGTTAGAAAGTTGTTAAAATAGGAAAAGAGGAAGTCAGGGGTTTTAGACCAACTTGCAGTCTTTCTCCAGGCCCTTGGACTCATCTGTGCAGTAGAAGAATTTTCCTTTGAAGAGCTGAACTGCGATGACGGCAAAGATGAACATGAAGAGCATGTAAACGATGAGGATGTTCAGCACGTTCTTCAGAGAGTTGACCACACAGTCAAACACTGCCTGAGGACACACAAACACAAACACACACGTCATGTGAGGGTGAAAAGGAAAATTATGTCTTTACATGGTTGAAAGCTGTTATCTATTGACTCTCCCAGGATGCTGCTTTCTTCTTTGCGAGGACCCTAGTTAAATTGTATTGTTTATTTCTCCTCCATTAAAATGAATTGCTTTTTTGAGCCTAAACATGTTTGAAAAATCATCAAACTTCGCACACGTCAGGCCTGGTGAAAACGTGCCTGTCATGGGTCTTGCAAATGTTTGGGGCAAAATGGCTCCATAGTGCCACCTACAAAATTTCAAAGAGGCCCTTGCATCCCCAGAGTTTTTCCTGCACGTACACAAATCGGTAGGCACATGTAACATACTGAGACATAAAGGCCTCTTGCACCGATAGCCTAAACCCAACAGAAAGTCAGCCATTTTGAATTTAATCTGCAATTTGGTGCTGTTTTTGCAATTTAAGGACATCATATTTTAATGAACCCCTCCTAATTCATCAGATCATCATCAAAAAATTGGTCATTCTCATCTTAAGACCTTTGCAATGTTAAATTTTGAAGCTTTTGAGTTTTCATTGAATGGCCGTCCTGTGACAGTGCGGCGAATTCTAATGATTCGCCATGAAACAGAAAGTTGCTGTAACTCCAGCACCCAATGGGAAAACAGGCCCAAACTTTATATGTTTGATAAGAGCTCTGGCCTGAGCACCATGTTGACCACTTGGTCAGAAAATACTTCTGACTTCACTGTGAAAAAATTGTAAATTTTCGTCAAACGGTGTGACTATGGTGGCATGGCAATTTTTTATGTTTCGCTATGAAAGAGGAAGTTTCTACAACTATGATATACTTTGTCCGATCCGCCTCAAACTTCAGGTGTTTGATGACAGTCCCACACTGAAGACATCTGTGTACTACTGAAAACAGGAAGTAAACCTTGAGTGACAATCACCATTTGATTTACATGATGTTTTCATGGTCTGGTTTACACTTTATATACATGAATGTTATGCATGTTAGCGGTGCCAAGGGGCCTCCTGGCAGCAGCCCCGAGGTTCACTCCGGCATTAACATGTAATTAATAATGCATGCAGCTAATAATTAATTCACTTGTATAAGATCAGTCTGCAACAACTCAAACACAGGTAAGACATGAAAAGTAAGATGACAACTAAGAGCAGAAAGGCTCTTCAAAGAGAAGGAGCTGAACAGTGTGAGATACTGATACACTATGTTCAACAAGATACCAGGTCTGTCAGGGGAAAAAAGTAATACCCTGTCATTAAAAAAAGCTTGCATCATATTCGTAACAGTCTAACATAAAACCAAACAACAGAACTTGAGAGCTATATTTTCTTTGCAGGGTGCAGGTGCTGCTACTGTCAGTTCTTCACAGCGAGACAGATAAACTTTCATCTGGTTGAAAAATCGGCTTGTTTTCAGAATTGTTTGTTTTCTTTTGTAACTACACAGATATGGGCGTTTTGCTGTTCAAACAAGCATGAATGTTGTGTGCTTGTTAACAGCTGATTGATATCTGCTGAGCTCATTTAAAGTGACGTTATAATGACTTTGTTGCTAGGCTTTATTGTTGTGCCTTATGGAACAGAGCAGCATTGACATGTCAACTAACACTGCTATATTATTAGATTTATGATCAAAAGGTAAGGCTGATGATTTTTTAATAGATCTCATTTGAAGACCCTGCATGGAGGTAGATTTGTTTCAATATTATTTGTGTGAACAGATTGACAATCTGTGTGTGAATGTGTGAATATAAAAGTTCCACAAATACAAAAGATAACAACCAAAAAGACAACCAAAAAAAATGCTTCTGTGGCAATTTCCTGCCTTAATCACAGTTGAGCACTGCTAACTTGTTAAATGGATCAAAATAAACCATAAAACAAGAAAGGAGCAGAACCTTGAGTTTTGGCAGACGTTTGATGGTCTTGAGAGGCCTGAGCACTCGGAGAACCCTCAGTGACTTGATAGTGCTGATGTCTTTGCCTTTGGTCCCCCTGCGGAAAGTAATCATTGTTAAACCACACACACAATTATTTACAAAAGACCTGTAGTAATCAAATCTTTTTTGAGTATTAATACTATTGATAAACAGAACACATAACAGAAAGTGTTTTTCAGACTTTAACATGATAGTTGTGATTTATTTTGACACTTGAACTTTGAAATGTGGCAGGATATGAATCGACTGTGTTTAGATCAGCTGGGTGAATGAGGCACACAACAATAGGCTTTCTGGATATCAACAAAAATCAATCATCAATGAGAAAAATAGGAAATCTGTTGGAGACATTTTTATGTAATTTATCCCGGTTCATGCATGATGCTTCTAATCCACAGTGCTCAGGGCATCAATACTACTGTTAGGTTTGGCAGATGTCTTAAAGGTTAACAGGGTGTATGGTCACACACCAGCCTCTATGGTAGAAGTCAAACTTCAACCAGTGTCCCTGAACATGATTGGCTGGGATAGAAATTGGGAGCAGCAGGAGGTGAATCATTACAACCAAGGCAACCTACGTTATCCTGTCACTTACATTTGTCACAGTTCATTGTTTTCAGGACCCAAATGCAGACACACACAAAGGCAGGTAGGTGTAGCCTTCATTAAATAAGTGGGCTGTACTTAAAAAGTTAAGGCTACAACTTTACGTACTTATATAATCACAAGGGGGCCAGGGGACAAGAAGCAAAAGAAGGTAACTGGGTAACTCTCAGGAAAGCAGCAGAAGGGCTTAACAAGTACAGAGCAGGGGACCTCAGGCAGATGGCCTAGGGACAAAACAGGGGTGAAGTGGGAGACTTCAGCCAGACAGCCCGAGGGTTGGACAGGCACTGAGCAGAGGACCTTGGCCAGACAGCCCAGAGGCCTGGCAAAATGGTAGGGACAAAGGTGAGTCCACTCTGGAGGTCAAGCAGGAGGATGCTGGTGAGAGCCGGACTGCTCTGGAGAATGACTTGGAGGGCAACAATGAAAGCGAAACACCTCTGCAGACCTGTGCTGTAGGTGGGGACCCCTCTGGAGGCCACAGAATGGAGCTCAGGAGCAAATGTTGGCCAAACCACTAACCGGAGACCAGGAGCAGGTGTTGGCCAGATTGCGGACTCGACAACAGGAGACTTGTTGTTGGCCAAGTAACAAACAGCTTTGGGAACTGATGAGATGTTGACTGAAATCCCTGACAATGGGACATGTGAGCTGGAGCGGTCAACTCAGGAAAAGACAAAACGTTGAATGGGACCCCCAACGCTGGAAGAGGGGAGGTGTCAGCTGGGTAATCCACTCAGGAACAGACTTGCAAAAAGACAAGACATCAAGAGCTTTTTAGGGGCTCCACCTCTTACATATGGTGATAGCCAGGTGTGTCCCCCAGAAAGGGGGGGCAGCACTAGGTTCTCTGGGTCAGGATCAAACAAGAACATGGTCAGCTCAGGAACAAGAGCAGACAGTGGACTAGCTGATTCAGGACTGGAAGGCTGCAGGCTCCAGAACTGAAACTCAAAGAGGCTGGAGTGTAGGCTGAAACGCTGGCTGAAGGCTAGCATGCTGGTGGCTAAGAACCTGACTAGCAGGCTCTGATGTAGGCTGGAAGCAAGCAGAGTGTGAGCTAGCTGACTTGGATACAGGCTGGGAAACAGGTTGAAGGCTCGTGGGCCAGGGGCTAGCTGACACAGGAACAGGCTGCAGGTTGGTAGACTCTGGAGTAGACAGGGAGACTGGCTGGGAATCAGGAGTGTTCAGAAAGTCCATAAGCCAGTCAGACAATGACCTCTTGAACCAAGTTTTTGAGACACTTCCCTACGTGCCAACCTAAGAGCCAGGATGTGGTTTATCTTAACATAAAGATTGGAAGCAGGTCGAAGCAGGTAGCTTAGCTCTCTCATAAGTGAAAAAAGCCTCAAAATCCAAACCATATACTACAAATATGTGTAGTAACAAAAACAAATAGTAAACACTCCACAACATAGGCAGCCTCACACAGGGACATGTGTCTCCTTCCAGCCTGGTTTACATGAACAGCTCAGTCTGAAATCTCTTTGAACATGCAGTCAATCCGTTCATTCCCAGAAATTCTTCTATTATCCTCCATTATTCTCCATGCAAATATGGTTATACTTAAGACTGTGCATGAAGGATCTTAATCTACAACATGTCTTGAGTCTGTATCTCAGGATTAAGATCTTAGTGAAACTAATTTACCACTTAGAGGGAAAAAAAACCTTTTTGCAAAAAACTGATTTAGCAGTGAAACACAAGAGAGCAGAGGCACATTTAGTAGATAAAATATCACAAATTTATCATGTCATTGTCTGAGGTGAGATGTTTGAATAAACCTCTGAGTTGCACTGTTTCATCTGTACGGTTTGTATTTCTTTTCTTTGTTTTTCTTATTTGAACGAGATGAGCAGAGTCTGCTACAAACTGATCAACTTACCACTGTGCATCAACTCTAATAGCTGTCTCCACTACGTTTCTGAGGTTGATTTTCTTTTGACTAACACTAAAGTTTTGGGAATGGGATCCCTTATGAGTACATGTGTTAATCTCTTAATAAATACGAAACCTTATAGTGTCTATTTTGAACTTTCACCGTTGATTATTTAGATGTGAATATACAGAAATACTCAAAATTCTAAAACCAGTATTCAAGGCCTAATTCCCTGAAAATTCAGATTTCTAAGTTGTTTAGCAAAAATCCTCATAAAACTAAATCCATGTTCTTTGGACCCTCTCAAAAACTTAAATACCTCTAAAATACATCTTAATAATCAGAGGTGAGGTTAATACCTGCAGTCAGGTCTTCTTGGATTTATATTTAAGGTGTTACACTAGATCCTTTCCTATTGTGGAAGCTGCATGGGACGAAGGTCATCAACAAAGACATTTGTAAACAGGTAAGTCCTATCAATACAAGACCCTTCTCCGTACACACTTACAATACTATGGAACAGGTTGATCTTCTTCTATCCACACCCAAAAAATGGAAACCTGCACTCCCCAACTACCATTTACAACATAGCTGCCTATGTGGGCTCCACCAGCAGCAATAAAAACTTTTGAGAGGTGGGAACCACATCTCTTAGAAAACCCTGTAGCCATAAATGAAGCACTCAAGAGCAGCCTCGAGTTTTAAGCTTGAAATGAACTAGTTCTTACGACATGGTGTCCAACTGCATCTAAAGGCAACAGTGTTTATAGTCGCTATAAATGTCCACACTCAGTGGCAGGGTAAAATTCCTGCTATCGTAGAGAGTACGAAGATGTGATGAATCATCCAGATGGGAATAAATATTGATGGGTGCACACTTAGCTTGAAGGCACTCATGATGTTGCAGTCATTTGTACATACGTAAAGTGATAGTGGTACCTGGTCAATCACTGTGTAAAGTGCTTGTTTGTTTTTGAAATTGACAGATGCAATTTTCAGTCTTATTCTTTAGGTCACTGCCTAAATATCTTGACTGTAGCTGAGGGATGGAATGCAGATTTCACCTTGAAGCTCAGCTCCTTCTTCATCCCAATAGTTCGGTACAACCTCTACATTATCCTTATTTGTAAACAAAACTCAGAGGTAACTGAACTCCTTTACCCAGGGCAGCAACTCAGTCCCAACCCAGTGCAAGCCACCGTTTCTGTCAGAGAACCAAGTCCTCACACTTGGAGGGGCTGATTCTCATCCTGACTGCTCCCCCCTCAGCTGGTCATGGTTTAATGAAGCCGAGGAGGGAACTGCTGATCCTGACTGATGATGTTGTTAAACAGTGGAAACTTAAAAGAACTCCTGAATCTTACTAACATGTCCTCAGTAGAGGAGGCAGAGTTGGAAGAGTCAGCGGAAGCCTTTTCTATATCACCGGCAGAGGTCCCTGAGATGGTTAAGAAGCTCTGCAGCAGTAAGCTGCTGTGTGTGGATGAGATTTGCCATGAGATGCTGAAGGCTCTGGCTGTCTTGTCTGACATGCCCTTCTGATGCCACATGGAGGTCGTGGACTGGCAGCCCAGCGTGGTGGTTCCTATTTTTGAATTATTGGGACATTACACTGTTCAGCCTCCCGGACAAAGCTCGTGCCAAGAGGCACTGATCAATTTGAAGACCTCAGATCCAGGAGGAGCAATGCAGGTTTTGTCCATAGGTGTATTGTGTACCAAGCACATTGTACTTGGCCTGAACTTCAATGAGCGAACTTCAAGTGTTAATTTTGCTGGAATAGTAATCCTGAGACACATGACTCGAGTGGCTACTCTTCAATGTCTCCTTCAAGAAATGTTCTGACATTACTTATAGTGTACAGTTCCAAATGTTTCCAAAGGCTCTCTAGAAGCCCTCAAAGAATCCTAGACTCCACTTTGAGCACCACCACAAATTAGCTGCAGTGTGACAAACAGCATGGTTTAACATAGTTTGTGACTTCCTCTGTGAGGTCACTTTACTCCACATGCAACAACTTCAACAACTCCATGCTGTGATGCAAATTAGTCCAGCATGAGTTTACAGTGACATAGGGCCAGAGTGTTATTAGGCCAAACACTAGGAGGGAGGGCTAAGGCAACAACCGCATGAGATATTCTAATAGCCTTCAAAGAACACCCCTCAACACCCAGATACAGTGAAGAAACAGGAGAGAAAAAGAGATTGGACTTGTTACAGGGGCTAAAATATGATGCTTAAGGGGATGTGAAGGTTCAAATGATAATGAGAACATCTGGTTCAGATGTGGCCTCATTATCTTCTCTTTATCATTTTCTGGAGAGAGAACAGAGAGCTTGGCCCTGAAAACAAAATCCCTCTTCAACTCTCTCAACACTGCTCTGTTTTTACTTCATTACACTCCAGAGTCTCTTTGCCTCTCTCTCTCTTCCTCTCTCTCGCTTTATCCTGCGAGTATGGATTGCAATACACAGTGAGCCATCTGTATTAAAGAATCATTTAAAGGACTGGTTCATGTATATCTTAATACATGAAAAAATCTTTATAAAAAATATATACAATGAAAATATTAAATTCCATATAGATGTTGAAAGAGTTATTTTTCCTCAGTCCACACTGGCTATGAAGCATTAGCATCATAAGGCAACTAAAGTAAGTGTACATTTTCGAGGTGGAGCAAATGCATAGTATGTCACTGCACATGCAATGTATTTTTTCTTTTCTTTTCAGGTTGTGTCCCATTTGAACATATCTCTATGACACAAACTGATCTGCAGGTTGTTTTTTATTGGACCTTACTGTGGCTGAACAAAGTGGCAGAAATACTAAATTAACCGTCTTGGTCTTGTAATGATGATGGGATGTGACCTAACTTGAGCACTGTATAATTTGGGTATGTCATCTTTTGCTACTCCCATTTTCCACAATATCAATGCCCATGTCCACACTGCTGGTGTCCTCAACAGCAGGACGTAGCCCAGTCATAACACGTTTGGCTACAAATGGCTGAACTTTTGTTTGAAACAATCATAAAAACAAAAATAAATCTACGTATAAAAATCAGTTTTTTACAACCTGCTGTGTGTAATTCATCCTCATCCATTCACCTCCTAACAACCTTCTTCTCGCTGCCTGTCCCCCATGTTAATAAACACTAGCTGTATGTGTACTGTGACGGCTGGAAGGCTTTACATGCTATTACTGCAGAGCGTCATGTGAGCTCAGGCAGAAAGAAGGGAGATTCAGTGTAAACAGAGCCGAGTTTGCTGATGGTGGATGTAGAAAACGAAGACAGATTGTCCAACACAGGAGGAAAAGCCTCTACATGACAGATTTCAGTCCAAGATGCAATAAAAAAAGAATTTCATGATATTAATTTAAACAACCCTTTTGATTATCAGTGTTTTTCATCAAAATAATTATCTAGGTCATTCAAAGAACCCTTATTTGTTGTTTATTGAAGTAATGACCTAGAAAATAGAAAATAAATGTAGAAAGATATTTTCACCCAAAGGGGTATAAAACCATCAGTGGTTTTGGGTTTCAGTTGAAAGCTGTCAGACAAAGGTTACTGTTGTGTTAAAACTGGTGTATGGGTTCAATATTTTATACATGAAGCTGATCTAACCAGAGGAAGAATGGTAGTTGAGAGAGGGTTGGATATGGGGGAAAGGGGTTAGGGTAAGGTATGGGGTACATGGTGAAGGATCAGGGAGGGGGTTGGGGTGGCATAGGAGGGTTCCCCACCTGGTCACACCTTGTTGCGATCTACTTGGGGGAAAACAGTGGTAAAACAAGGTACAGCACATTTATGGATGCTTCACACATACAACCAAAATAAAGCATATGTTTGCATCAGATGACAACACCATACTTTCCATTAATGATAACAGATGTAAAATTGTATATATTTTGGTTGGTAGCAGACAACTGCATGAATAAATCCCAGTAAAGAACAGGCTCCACAATGGATTCAACTACAGTATATCAGGCCATATGAGGAGAAATAGTAGGTGTGGTTAGATGCTGAATGAGCCAGTTGTATGAAATAAATCAAGACTATTAGGATTTAAGACAGGCACTTTTTCAGCATAACTTGCTCTGTAATTTCAAACTGCTACAACTTCTAAGTCTCAACCAAAACATCAAATAAAAAGAGCAAATGCCAACAAAGGCCTCATGTGAGATCTTCTAAATAATAATAATTATACTATTAATAAAACCAATAGAAATATCATCCCGGCCCTGAAAACCAGGTTATGTTGACATCCAAAGGCAGTATTGCACTTTGCAGCATCAAATGTGAGAGGCTTCAGCAGGTGAGATGACAGATTCACAGATTTCATGGAGATGCCATGGTTTGTTGTCCTTGCCAGAGGCAGTCGATCAGATGGATGGCAGGCAGACTGAGCTCTGGTGACATGCATGGTTAGTGAACAACAGCTGTCAATCAAACAAGACTTTCTATCTTTAACTGCCAATATAAGAAGTGACCTAGAGCCAAATAGCCTTTCCAAATCATTTGTTTGAGTTTGATTTAATCTGCTGAAGAATCTGGTGTGGGACTAAGAGCAAGAAAGAATTTTAGGAATAAATAAATGAGACATTATGAAATAAAAACCTTTAGGAGTAAATATAGAAAACATGTAAAGTAACCATACATACATTTTTGATACTCATCAACCTATTATGAAATTGAATTTCATTCTGTTTCTTTTTATAATCACAGGTCAATTTAAATTAATTAATTTTATTAATTACTAATTCTTCTTATTAACTGTTTGCTAAGACACGCCCCCTTATTGTTTCTATCCCTGTATCCCTGCCTCTCTCCCTACAGAACATATGCAGTTCACAGTGACAATGGTGGCAGATTTAACATTCAAAATATTTATGAGCAATGTCTTATTGATTGCAGGCAGTGCTAGACAGTAGACAATTTTCAGCTGAAATTGTCTACTGTTGCGGTAGACTTTATCAGCTGTGGCTATCTAGCTAACTGTAGCTCTATGAGGCTGCGACTGTCTCCTGACTTCTAACTGTTTCAAGCTCATTAACTTAAAACGAGAAATGTATAAAAGGGTCTTCAATGTGCCACAACTGATATCATCCTAAAAGGCCGATGTTAAAGCTAGGTTAAACTCAATGCAGAGTAGTTGGCTGCAGCTAGTTAGTTCAGACTGTTACTTTGTTCTAATATAACATGCTTACATACTTGCTCATATATTTAAACAGTGTGTTTTCACTTTTGACATTACAGGTGAGATGGCATTGAGATTTGAGTATAGCTATCTGCATGAACTCTGATATGTAGTAATGTTCGGGACTAGCTTCCACACAGTGAGGATATACTACAGAGTGGATGTGCCAGTCTATTTAACATAACCTGTAACCCCACACACTAATGTAGTTAGTCAATAATATGCCAACTCTTCACCCTGTAAGTAGTGCTAGTTTACCACCGTAGATGGTAAAGTAGTTAGCATCATTTCATAATGTCTTATTTCTTTAATACTGAATACTTATACAGGCTGTCAGTTGCTGATAAGTACTGTATATGAATTTCACTCACAAGTGCTGTTCAGCACAGGTTTGGAACCAAACCACAGAAATATATTCCCATCTGCAGCATGATGCTGAGTCAGACAGATACAGGTTAAGTACGGTAGCATAGAATAAACTGCATGTGAATGGAAATGATGAGGCAAAGTGGTCACAGGGCAGTCATTGAAAAACCTATAGCTAACAGCATACATGACATACAGTCTATCTAACAGGCATGCTAAGAACACAGAGAAGACGGATAATCCCTGAGATGTACTCATGCCCTCCGACAGCAGCTTGCTCATTACGCTAGCAAGCTTCTGGTGAATTAATAACTGAATGTATGAAGTTGATGGTATCATTCAAGCCCAAGCAGAGCTGTGTCGAGCCAAAGTGCTGATGAAAATACCTCCCATCAGAGGCTTGAGGAAGATAAGGATGATGAACACGCAGGTGACATGCCCCTCTATAACAGAGGAGAGCATGGAGGACAGACCTTTAGCCAAGCACGAGGGTCAAGTACAGGAGAGTTTCAGATGGACGACGAGATGGGAATGTGTCCCAGGCACAACAGTGAACAGTGCAAAAAACACCCATTCTCACAAGCAATTTCACTTCATATACTGCAGGCCTTACAGTCTGTTCAAGGAGAAATAGACCTGAACAGCTAACAGTGATGCATCTTGTAATTCTGAGCTGACTTTGCACCAATAATTAACAATGATGCAGAAAGAAATCCAGTAAAGCTGCAGTGACTGTCCACTGACAGCAGCCTTTAGACCGGAATTCATTGCAAGCGCTATGTGTGTTGTGTTTTGAAAAAGAAATTGAATGGTTTAAATTTAAAAATTCTTTACTTGTAATTTCTCTACAAAATGTAACCTATGTGTGAACAATATTCAAATATATATATATATATATATATATATATATATATATATATACGTATATTCTGCACTAGAATTTACTAAACAACTAAGCATAAAAAAATTTGTTGGAGGATTTTTTAAAATGAATTTTAATTCATATTTATTTTTACCAAAGTAAACAACAATATCTTATGGAAAATAGAGTTGCACTTCTCATCCTATGACATGCCTTAAAAGAAAACCAGAGTATATTTAAAGACGTAAGACTGAATATGTGAGGAAATTACTTGTTTTTGCAGTGTGAGTGTATTTTCTCTCACACATTTACACACGCAGATAATGACGAGCAAGATGAGAGAGATAGAGGCATTACCCCATGAAGCTCCTTCAAAATGATCCCAGCACAGAAACAAGGAGAGGATGAGGTCATTAAACACATTGCACAACACAACACCCCACACACACACGCACACACACACACACACACACACACACACACACACACACACACACACCAACATCACAAACATAATGCAACAATAGAACTGTCATATAAAAAACTGTCTCCTATAAACACCATATTGATGATTAAATTTTACAATTCTAGCACTATAAACACAGACAGTCTTCTACACAAAGACATTTGCATAATGCATACTCAGCCATGCAACCAGTCCATCAAAAGGGGGGTGTTCACTAATTACTGGATCCACTAGTTCAGCACCTCGTGAATTTGCAGGGTAGCTCAGTGACGGGGTTCCACATGTTTACACAACTTGACTTATACACAGGCATGGCTGTATTTGGAATAGGTTTTTGCCCTGCAACAGGGCTTTAAAGTCTTGACAATCTTTCCAAAAAGATGAGCTCATCTTCCTCTGCTGTTAAATGACCTTCTTATGGTTTACCATTATAGTTTACACGTACTGTTCCTTTTTCCTCTAATAAACATTGAACAGACTAGAAGCTGCGAGGCAGGTTTCTGCTCCACACAGTCCAAATTACACCTCATTTCTCATTGAAGTTTGGTATATACTGTATATTACAACTGACACATCACATGTATCCCCCAAATCTAATGATCAGGATTAATAACTCACTAATCGGAGATTTCTTATTTAAGACAAAAAAGTAGGAGTTTTTGAACTTACGAGAATGCAAAAGCCACCAGCGCCCCACTGACTACTATGAAGTCCAGAATGTTCCACAAGTCTCTGAAGTAGGATCCAGGATGAAGCAACAGGCCCAGGTCCACCATCTAAACCAGAGATTATTTATTTAATTAATTTCACTTTAGGCATTTCATTTGATTTATTTGTTTAAATGACATGGGGCATGGGACTATATTATAAGGCCTGTACTGGGTGAGTGTATCATATCATATTTTTATGGTTTTATGGTTTGTTTTTGTAACCTGTCTTCCTAGTGAAATGGGAAAAATTTATACCGTCATATGTGCGCTGTCATGTAACTGCATTTTAACCAACCCCTTTGTAGTTGATAAACTGTTCCTTGACTAGGGTGGTAAAGGAGCAGTTCTTTATCTGCCTTATTACCCCGCATATCTTGTTTTTACTCCTGAGAATTTACGACTACCTGCCTGTGCGGTCTGAAATCACCGGCTGACAGCAGGGGGCGGATACGCCCATATTCTTGTTTTCTAAAGTATAAGAGACAGGATTGATTTTATTTCGGGGGAAGTACTGAGCCCATTTGCAATCGTTATATTTGAATAAAATCCATTAAGACATTCCTGAGTCTTTATGTGTTTTAAGATTTTCACAAGACTCATTTTGATTAGATTTTGATTTTTTTTTATCTTAGATTTCTCTGTGACATGGGAGTCACAGGGGCAAAGCATTGACAAGCCATTAAAGATCTGGCAGAGGAGGCAGAGAAGGAGAAGCTTTTGGCTCATCCAGTTCGTTTACTACTACAGCAATAGTGGATTCAACAGACTGATTCACAGCAGGAGCAGCCATCTTAGTTATTAACAAAGATGCTTCAGTGGCACTCCTCTGTCAGTCATCATATCAAACCTGCCCCATTTTAGATTAATGGTTGTGATTGGCCTGACCAGTTTCTAAATGGATGCAAGTCTGTCTGAATGGGAAGGGGCTTGCTGGTCTAGTTTCCAAGCTACTGTGGCCTCAGTATTGATCTCTGCTACCACTCTCATTCAAAACTCTGCAGCTCCTCCAGTCTTAGCAGCTCTGCACTGGCTTCCTATTACATTTAGAATTGATTTTAATTGATTGATTAAAAATTGATTTGCTAACTCCGTGATTAACTATAGACCTCCAAGAACACTGAGATCATCTACTGCTGCTTTACTGAAGGTTCCCCGCAACAGCCGTAGGAAAACTGGGGATGCAGCTTTTGTCAGTTACGGCCCAAAGCTGTGGAACACACGACCTCCAGATATCAGAGAAGCTGCTCACTGAGTTTTTAAAAGAAAGATAAAAACTTATCTCTTCACTTTAGCCTTTAACTAGCTCAGCCTTGCTCAGCACGTCTTTTAAATGCTGATGTCTTACTGATTTTATGCTTTCTATGTAATCTTTTTATTTTATCTTAATTCATTATTCATTATTTCATGAATGTTTTTATGTTCATTTTATGTCTTTTCATGTGAAGCACTTGGTGTATGTCATTTCTTTGTCGTAAAGGTGGTGCACAAATAAAGTTAATTTTATTATTATTATTATTTTTATTGTTATTATCATTATTATTAATGCACCACCACCAGGAGCCAAACATCAATGACTGGTGGTCCTCAGCTCTTAATCTGTTAGCTCTACTAAAGTTGTCTGTTTTTATTTTTGTTTGTTTTGTTTTTGTTTTCATTTTTCACCGCAGGCGCTGTGGGTGGAGCAGCAGCAGGCAGCAATGCCCAGCAGGTTAAACACCAACCTGTACATATAACCGTTTATGAGGACATTTAATCATTGTTAATGTTGAACTACTGATGGGTTTTTTTTAAACAATGATGATTTTATATGAAAATAAAATGGATTATCATTAAAAGGGGTACTGCAGCCTGATCTCCTGAGAGCACTATAACTGTCACATTGAGGTGAGGTCCTGGCACAGACTGCCTCGCTGTCCTCGCCACAGTCATCACTTTCAGTTTGTAGACGGTTTAAAAAGTGCAGTGAAAGATAAAGAGACACTCAAGTTATTACTGCTTTAATTGTGAATTCATCTATTGTACATGCTTACCTTGATCACCATTTCAAAAGTGAAAACACCAGTGAAGGCGTAGTCCAGATATTTGAGCACCTGCAAAAAAAGAGGCTGAATTAGTCCTGCCTATGTACTGTATTTGTGTACAATATTGGTTTGCAGTTATGTGTTCCCTGTTTCAGGCACCACACTGACAAGAAAATAATTTTAAAAAGAAATGCTCTTTGCTCAGTTTTCTTGAGTATTACATACATTTGTGTGTATTTATGTCTATATTCATGTGCATCGTGTGTCTCACATTGTTGCGGGGGGCATTCGTCCAGACAGGGTCCTCTGCTGCCAAAGCGATACTGCTCATAGCAATGACAACCAGGATGGACATTTCAAAATAACGCAGAGTCACAATGTAGTGACACAACCGCCTCACCCTGAGGAGAGAGAGAGGCAGGGAAAGACACAGAGAGGGAGGGAGAAAAAACACTGAGCAGGAGACACAGATCTAACAAAGACTGAGTTGTGGCAGTAGCTACTATCTCTCCTATTTATTTTCTAAACTTGCTCTAAGTCTAAAGCTGAGTAGTGAATGTAAAGTGATGAGGGCAAAAAAAACAGTGAAGACACTGTGTGCTATACATTAGATATATACTATAAAAAAATTGAAAAACATGAAAATTGTGTAAAATTACCATTTAAATGTTTTCCATAATACTGTATGAATTAAATTTATATATACAGGCATACTAGAGGCGACAGCTATGTATGAAACCTCTTATGTGACTGTCGATATAACTAGATATAGTAGATATACTTTATTTCCACTGTGTGCTGCAGTCAAACACACCCTGACCTCAAAAGTAAAGGTGACCTCATCAGCACTCAAGTCAGCAGAGAGCCTGAACCTAATGCTGCAACTGTTCCTGTTAATGTCCGGCATGTAGACCAGCTACCACTGTCTTCTGTGTGTGTGTTGGTATAGATCATTGACAGTGTGTGAAGGTTTAGAAGTACACTTAGGGGATGGACACTGGTAGGGAGAGGAATTGGTCTCTTGAGGAGGTGCAGTTTACTGGTTTTAGTAGGAGGGAAAGCAGAGAGATGTCGATATGATGATATGCTAGTTTAGAGATCATTCAAGCACCTTTCATACAGATCAGTGCAGTTCCAAGTCCTTCACACATAACTGATGAGATGACAATAAGACATAACAAGTGATAGAATTAAATAAAGGAGTGGCTATCACCCAGTCTCTGAAGGGTCTGACTTCCACAGCATGTTGGAGGTCCTACAACAAGGGACTTTAAGCAGCGGTTGAGGGGACAGCTACATGATGCAATGACGTTTTTGTCATATTTGATACTGTCAGGTTGTTTACATTTAATAATACCATTAGTAGTTTTATGTATTATGAGTATATTTGTTAAAGATACATGATAATCTGACAGATTTTTCCAGTTAATTCATAGACATGCCAGACAAACTGGTGTTAACCTCCATCCTCCCTCTCCAGCCCACAACCTCACTGTGCTGAGTTGATGAAACCATGACGCTGTCCTTGGTGCTGAAGTAACAGACTGATTTATACAAACTCCTCATCTGATTTTAAATTGTCTCTAAAGCAAATATCAAGAGGTCAGTTTAAGAGACATATTGTAGCAATCTTCAGAGTGACCTCGGTTTCCTGAAATAGTGAAGTAGCTGTTGTTGGAGTTAAATGTTGCTTAGTGATCTTTGATTTCCATCACTACGGCAACACGTTGGAATGTATAGGGGTGCCAGAGCAATCACTTCAACCATCGCTGCTTAAAGTCCCAAATATGTGGACAGAGCAGGTTGGGGCGACTCACGGGTTTGTCTGTCCAAAGATGAACATGGAGCTGTAAGGCAGGATGGGTTTGGGTCCGCTTTGACCTAGATCCTCCAGAGTCTTCTCATTAACGGGCATTGTCTCACAGTCAATACTGTTCACTGTGAAGACAGATAGTTCACTTCAGCAATAATCTCAGACACAGCATAGTGGCACTGAACAGCATTGAACCCCCAGCATTCATCATCTATTTTACTGTCCTCAAAACACAACGGGAAAATAAATGATATCTGTTCTTGGCACAGTCTGATACAGTGAGAGACTCTTTATCGTTACCATTTAACCAAAGTCAGCCTGTCTACGATACACAAGCAAGCTTCAACTATTTGTTTTGAATGGAAGTTGTCTTCTAGAGTTATATGTGGTGGTCCTGTCCATGTATACGCAAGAATTGGATCAAAGTATTTGACACAAAGTCTCAGCCCCCGTTGAACCATCTGAAACCCCTGTTTTACCCTGGGTTACAATTGTGCTCCAGACTCATATGAAGACCTTTAAGTTGCTTGATTCTTCCTGTGGAAATTTATGGATTAGAGTCATCTTTTACTTTGTGACAGGTAGAAAATAGAATCACTGCCTCGCGGTTATATGTATGCCTCTGCAGACCAGTCAAGTATCAGGAAACATGATCAAAGTCTCTCCTTCCTGAGTTACAGTGTTGAATAATGGTCTTAAGTGTATTTACATTACATTATGATGTTATGAAGTTGACCTTTGACCTTCTGGATATAAATGTTATCACTTGGTGATTTTATTCTATTAGACATTTGTGCTCATAAATAGTGTATGAATTATTGAGTTGTTGCCAAAAAGGAATTTTGTGAGGTCATAGTGACCTTGACCTTTGACCACCAAATTCTAATCAGTTCAAGTAGATGTTTGTGCCAGATGTAATGAAGCGTTACTGATGGTTATGTTATTTCATATAACCTTTTTCATGTTAATATTATTTATTTTTGTCAACTCACTATAATCACTTCTTTTATTTTTGTCTTTCAGGGGAGATGTGAAGCTGCTGCGGCTGTTGCAGCAAACAGAAAATTTAACAGCTGTGAATGAGGAAATGAATTACTGAGAAAACTCTTGGCACAGACATGGACTCCACGTCCCTCACAGTCCAAGGATGGAGCAGATCCTGTCAGTGTGAACTGCAAGACGACAGCTCAACCTTCCACAGAAATGCTTATTTAAACCCTTTGTTAAATACACTATTTAGCAATGGTGTCAGGATGCTGGTCTCAGCCCTGTACACCTGCTTGCTTTAGTTTGTTTCGTTTTTCATCCTTTCTTTTTTGCCATTTTTTTTCCCTTATCTGCTTAATTTCTCATGTCTTTAAACTTGAACTATGTAAATAGAGTTCAGAAAACTGGCACTGACAGTGTCAGGAGCACCTACATGTTCCCACCTCACCTTGCTCTTGTCACAGTGAATGATTTCTCCTCTGTACATATTTTAACTGTGGCTAAGAACGGAAGTCCTCTCTGTCATATTACTGTATGTGTGCAGCTTGCTACTGACTTTGCATGAGGATGGTTTCTCCAGGCGGGGAGGTGACAGTCACAGGAGGGATGTGGATGGAGCTTTGGCCAGTTCGCCTGACGTTCCTCTGGTTGTCTGAGTCCTCTGGTCGGTCAGGAGGCCAGTTGGCCCCTCCAGAGCCCTGCTGGGGGGAGATGGCTAGGGACTCCCCCTCTGACTCACCACACCTATCCCTAGATCAGAGACAGCATCTTAGATATTAATGTCTTATGCTTGAGTCCTGGTGGGTAAACAATGATTGTTTCGCACAGAGTTGGACAGTCCAGCTCTGACAGACGGGTCTGGTGTCAGTGTGAGACAGACGCCTGGTTCCGACCTGGCACTAACATGTGTCTCAGATGATCCAATCACAAGTGGACAGCGTCTCTCTTCTATGTTGGACTCATTTCAGAGAAGAACTATCTGAGAAGAACAATGGTCCGTTGTCGTGAACACAAATAAGTGCACACACTCTGTGCCACTGCGCACTCAAACATGAACAACATTCTCACACATAAAAGCAACAATGGAGCGTTTCGGTGGTTCACCTGGTCGAGCACAAACCATTAAATTCAGTCCTTACCGCAGCGACACAGGTTCAAATCCAGCCTGTGCTGTTGCTGCTCGCCATCCCCTCTCACCTCCTTCTCCCAGCTCTCCTGTCTCTCTCTCACTAATAACTAATAACACTAACTAAAAATGAATTCAGTGATGCCTGCATGAAAGAGGAGTTCTGTCATCCATTTATCACTTTTTTACAAAGTGCTGCATGAATGAATGAAGCCACTTTCTGTTCTGCTTCAGTTGGGATCAAACCCATGTCTCACAGGTCGCAGGTATAAATTCTACCATCCTTAAAATGATTGCAGACCTCTGGCAAATCATTTAGTGCTCGTTAATATGTATTAATATTTAGCCTATTGTTGATGAATATACCTCATAAATCATGACACTGCTCTCCACTGCATGAAAATACAGAAGCCGCTTTTAATAATAAAAAGTATCGGTATCGGTGATTCAGGCCCTGTATCACTTGGTATCAGATCGAAAAGGAATTTTGTGCTGTGGCCCTTTAATGTTTCTCCACAGGCAATCCATATGCAAATAAACACGTATCATTTCTGTTTGCAAAGAACACATGGAGAGAGAGAGAGAGAGAGAGAGAGAGAGAGAGAGAGAGTGAGAGAGATCAGGATGGAGTGAGTCAATCAATGTTCTCTAGGATGAAATAAGATTTGACTCATTTGAAATAGTAAAAAAATAGAAAATCATTTGTGGCGGTCAGTGATGACATTGTGGTTAGGCGCCATAAATAAATCAATGTATGGGAAACAGTGGATTGAGCTACTTGTCACCACTGTCTGTGACACTTTGTTTGACTCAGCAAAAACTGATGACTAAACATTTACAGACCAGTAGAAACACCATGGGACATTTCACACTGTGAGCTCGCTGCAGAATGAGAGGAAGTCAAGGTTTCATAGTAAATGCAGATCCAACATATTTGATCCAGTTTTGTTTTCTTTCTAAAAGGAAAAAGCTCCTAAAAATATTTAGCACAGTGATACTTCTACATCTTAGATTTCAATTTAATCTTCCATCTAAATTAAGTTCAAAAGTTAGTTAATGTATGTTTTTTGAGATCTGTAGTGATGAACGTGTGAGAACCACAAACCTCATCAGGCATTTGAGTTCACTGATAGTAAAGATTAAAGAGTATTTGGATGCTTAGATCATTTTCACCTGTGACATTGGCTCCTCTCTCTCTCATTGAACTCCTCTCCCTCAGCGGTGGATTGGCCCCTGGATCCATGAGTCCGATGTCTCCTCCTCTCTCCGTTGGCACCGCTGTCTCCTCTGGAGTTAACATCCCCGTCCCTGTGAGAACTACATCCATCTTTGTGTCGGGATCTTCGCTCTTCCCTCCCTCCACTGTTCACTGTCCCGTTGCCCCCTCGGGACTGGCGATGTGAGTGATGATGGCGATGTTCTCTCTCTGGCCTGATACCTCCACCTCCGCTGTCGTCCACTGAGCTCTGATGGTGATGCTTCTTGCCTCCCTCTCGGCTGCGGGATCTCTCGTTCTTCCCCTCTTTGCCGCGGCTGCCGTCGTGGTCTTTGGAGCGACTGTGATGGACGTGGTGTCGACCCCCAGTGTCACCATTATCGTTTGTCTCGTCTCTCATTCTGGTCCGGTCCCTGTCTCTGTGGCGGTGGTGGCGGCGAGGCTGGTGGATCACAGGAGGGTCAGCGGCAGTCTCAGCCTCCTCGGGCAGACAGGGCTTATGATGGTGGTGCTGGTGGCCGCCCAGCAAAGGCCTGTCACAGGGCTCAACAAGCAGCGGCCGGTCGTGGTGGCTCTTCATATCGGGCCGGAGGTGGAGGGCCGAGGACAGGCGGAGACGCTCTTCAGGCTCCAGCTCGCTGTACAGGGCCTCACAGCTCGCCCAGTTTTGCCTCCTCAGCTGATTGGCCCTCTGCTCCCAAACTGACATCATCTTCACTGACTTCTGCTGCTCCTTACTGGGGGAGAACCAGAAGAACAGGACAAATCACAACCACTGGAACATTGATATTACAATTTAACACTGAGTTTTTTCACTTCACGTCATTTCTACACAGGACAGCAGCATTTCCAATGGATACATTGACAGGCATGGTTCCCTTTGAGGTGTGACACATTCACTGTGTATGCACTTTATAGTTCATGACTTCATGGCACATAAAACCAGCAGTAGGTCCCTACATGCTTGGATGATTTACAGTATGACCAAGGTGCACTGCGTTCAACTATCACAGTCTACTGTGGAGAGCACCTGAAAAACAGCCAAGCATGGCCTCATCACCATGCTCTGACATGCAACTGTTTTCTGTCAATGTCTGTGTAATACAGTATTTGTGAAATGGCTGAACGCATGCACTAACAACAGTGCTATCTCTTCACGTGTGATGATGCCATCGTTTAATGTGGCATCTCATCAAATCAGTCAAATCAGTTCACTGCACAGATTAGTAACTGAAAATAACTTTATTCCATGTTCTCAGTGCTCCATTGTCTTAAAGTTATATTCTTCATACTCATCTTAGAACTGCACTGCACTCTTCAGAACTCCTGCTAAGAGGCGGATGGACAACATCAACACTGGACTGGGAGAAGCCCGTAACATGGTGTGCATGAGAACAATGCAGGGCAGGTCTGTTTTGTTTATGCAGTTCTTGTGTTCAAGGATGTAAATAATGAGAATATGATTATGTATGTTCTTATGCATGTAATCATCATCATCATCATCATCATCCACCACCTTGCTAGCAGGCGGTTGGGTTTACCTCAGGTATTGATGGACTGGGGTGCAGACATAACTCCTACAAACACATAAAGGGAGCAACATTGAAGCAAACAGAGGGAAAGAAGGAACTTCAAATGGACAGAAACAAGTTACAGACAGAAGCACAGAGGGGCAGATAAGCTTCAGAAAAATGACAACAAGTACAGTAGAGATGGAAAATTATACAAAAACCCAAAACAAATTGTTTTTGCAGCGAGGGAGCAGGGAAATAATGAAACACTCACTGCAGACCTGTGCTATTCGTGTTAAAGAGCTCTGTGGTGTTTGGCTGGACTAATAGTTCTCTGTCACAGTGTTAGTGTCAGTGTCTCACTACAGGACACGCCTCCCCGCACAGTAACCTACAGTGTGGAGGGGCATATCCTATACTGAGACATCACACTACTCAGAGAGCCAGAGTTACGCAAGTGCCACAAGTCAACAATGTGTGACTATTTACCTATTTACAGGTGACTGTGTGACAGGTGTGTGTATGTACCTGCTGCTGAAACCTAAACTTCAGTGTCATCACTGGAGTTACAGTTTATTTTTAGCCTTGGTTTCAGTGGAGTGTGTTTAAACTGCACAGCCAAATAATTCCAGTCTCTCCAACTCAGTCATTAGTTCTTGAGAGGACGTGTCAAATTTACACAAATTAAATTACAGCTCGAACAAATCCTCAACAACAATTTGCCCTAAAGCTGCTTTATAATTAGAGAGTGATGATGAGTGATCTGATCTGAGACCAGCCCCTTCCTGCTTGCTGAAACTGTAGCAACCTCCCAAAGGAAACTCTTAGTGGTAAAGTCCAAGGAATCTAGTAAATATTATTGTTAATGCCTAATCAATGTATTTACAAAGACACCTTAATTAAATTCACAGCTTTCAACTATTTCGTCATGGTTACAGTTTAGTAAGGCTTCATTTAGTGTTCCTGTTGCATTTAAAGATACTTTTTCTTATTGTCGACAAATCCAATGAAAAGACAACAAAACCCTACACTGTCAGTATAGGTTCATTGGTTCCTATTGAAGACATAAATCTTTAAACTTCACAAATGTAGAGTTTCATTTTTTTTATGATTAGTAATTTCCTAAAACTGCTGGTCCTTGTAGTTTTGCAGCCTGGTACAAAAACAGTTTTGGTCTCTAGAGCTAATTTCCTCCTTCATGACAACTTTTTATATAAATCACCTGTTTACATTTCATTAAGGACTAAAGTTATAGAGAGCTGAGGGCGTGGCCTCTTTTAGTGACAGGTGGGTGAGCATATGCTTCCCACAAACCAGCATGCACCTAAGCCTCAGCTCCAAACAATGCCCCTCCTCTTTACCCATTTTTGGATTAGCTGGGGGTTAGGGGTGGAGTCAGACACTGCCAAGATGGTGACGGTGGGGCAGCTCACTCTGAGCTTCAAAATCGCTCTTCAAAAACCTGTGGGTGAAGTCCCAGAGGCTAGGTCCATCTTTATTTACACTCTATGATTTTCAATGTGTTCTCACTGATGTGCTTTCATGGGAATTGTTGACAATATGAAAAATATTTCTCCAGCTTTAAGTTTTAATGAGAGTTTCATTCCACTAGTTTTTACTATCAGCCTTCGTCATTCTGACTCATTACAAATAAGACTGAATGACTCAACAGCTGCTGTGTCCAACTTCTAGTCACTCAGCATCTGTCTGTGTTTCTGTTTAGCAGTTCTTCATCTGTAATAATGTACAACACGCATTTACAACCAGCTTGGGAGATGAATCATATCACACACAGTATGAACAATGATATGCAGTATCTTGAGATCAAAAAAGAATTCTCAGACAGGATGCTGATCACACACAGTCAGATACCATGACCACTGAAACACAAACTGGTGACCCTTGCTGATCACAGGGAAATAATAAAAACAGAACAAAGGAATGGAAATACTGAAACACACACGCAACTCTGTCACAAGATGTGAGCACGGAGGAGCTGTCATGTTCTTCTGGACAATTCACACAGAAAGATGAGATGACCGCACCAGGAGAAGGTAGGGTGTAGCAGCAGAGCAGGAGCGATGGAAGAGGGGCAATGGGAGGATTTAGAAATTGTATCAGAGAGGTAATAACTCACAGTGAGTTAACGCTGCAGATGGATGAGCTGCTAGAATGCGCGTTACCTCGACTGCGTGTTAGAAAACTGCACATGCACAAAACAAAAATGGGGGAGGGGGGGACATCATATAGGATGAAGTCAGGGAAACAGCCAGACACCATTCAACATTTCTCTGCTTTCTCTTTGTCCTTTAGCCTCCCATCACATTTCAGTGCAATGAACAGTAAAAGCTCAGAAACAGAACTGAGACTGAACCAGAAAGGAAATGTCACACAAATGGGCTGTGGGGCACATTTTGGCTGCCATGGTGACAGCAAGGTCAGTCTGATTTCACTAGATTCAGGTTTTGCTTACAATTCAGGGAAATACTTTTAAAGCGCAGTTATGAGACAGGAGGGTTTCACTGAAATCTATTAACGAGCAACATTTCACTATGACTGCTGATGCAAAAGGCAAATCAAATTTAAGAGGTCTGGATAAAGAATAATTTCATGGGTGGAGCTGAAACAAAAACACTGTAATATCGGAGCTCGTTGCAGCAGCTAAGTACAGTATTATTGTGCTATCATAGGCAATCATGTTAAGTCCATTGATCCATTGAAATCTATTGATGGGAGAACAGATGAACTTGGCTCCCTTGGACTAGAAACTTGGTATCATCACTGTGGCTTCATTGATGACAAAATGACGCACTGTATTTTAACGTGTAAGACATCTTTTAGATTTAGAGTTCATTTAACTGGACCCACTGCAAGTGCAACTGGTTTGAATTATGGGCCAGAACTTCCACCGACACTGATTCCCTTTTTCCACCAAAATGATCAAGTATAAGCAGATTTATTAAACGCGGGTAAACTCGCTAATAAAAGCCGATTGTCTCCTTTTCCACTGCCAGTTGAGTTTGTCTTTCTGTTCGGACTGAGGACACACACAACTGCAAGTAGTGATGTCATCACATGCATTTACAGAGCACACATACAGATGCAGTGGAGAGAGAGTGAGTGGCTAGCCGCCGTGCAAACTGATAAGAGAGATCTGTCATGTCTCGTCCTCGGGTTGTGTCAGTGTCAGAGCCTCAACGTGAGACGCTTCAATCAGTGATTGTTTTTAAAACTTATTTCGGAGCTGCAGCTCACTCTTTCATCTCAGAGCGCAGTGTTGTTGTTGTCGGCCACTTGTTGGCAGCTAAGCAAGCCGAAAACACAACACTGATATATTATCACCTTATTATTAACATGCTATGGCAAACGTGTCAGCAGTGGCCTATTTACACATATCCAACTGTATCGAATGTGCATTTCTACTTTTAGCTCTGTTTTGGTCTCCAACAACTCCTGAGAAAAAAATTCTCGTTCTTTAACTGTTAAATTCTCCACTGTGTTCACTTATTAACTCTCTTCTCTAACTTTGTCTGTCTGTTGTTTTGTTGTGCTGGGCAGGTCGTGCACAGTGGGTTTATCAGAGCTGTTAGACAACTTCCTGTCTGTCTGCCTGCCTGTAGTTGATAATCCATCCATTATCCACACCGCTTATTCCTGAGGGTCATGGTGGGCGTTGGAGCTGATCCTTGCTCACATTGAGCGAGAGGCTGACACACAGAAACAGACAACCACTCACACTGACATTCACACCCACAGGCAATTTAGACTAGTCATTTATGCAAACCTGCATTTTTTGGACTGTAGACAGACAAACCAGACAAACTATGCTAAAGCTATGAGGTAAAAGATGCTTAAAAGCTCCATAAAGCTGAAGGGAACTGGAGAGTCAAGTGGCAATTCTCTGTGGATTCTCCTCTTACATTGCACATTGCCATTCTATCTATTGTTTATGGAAAATACTGATCAGTTAAGGTCACTGCAGATTGTTGTGTTTGTTGTTATGTTCCCTGTATTTTGATCAAATTTCCCTGCTTCACACTTCAAAGCCACACACCTACTTAAAGTCAACTTAAGTCTTGTTGTTTTAAAGGAGCTATTTGTAAGTTTTGCTTTTGCTACAGAATTAGCAGCTGTTATTTCTTGTTTTGCATCTATGTCTATCACTTCTTTTCTTCTAATGAAGTTAGCATGCTAACCAGCTAGCCCACAATTTGAGGCAGGACTCTGCACTGTGGAAATATTTTAAAATGGAAAGTGATTGTAGTCCAACAGCTACTTTGCAAGCATTTCATGACGCGGCAGTAAGAGAACTGACTTCAATACTATCAATTTGATATGGCATCTAAAAAATAAACACTCAAGGGAATACAGTGAGTTCACTCAGCTAACTCAGACAGAGGGACAGACACTGGAAAAGGAGAGAGAAATTTCCTCGAGACAGCAGGAGACCAAAAAAATTACGGAGCGGATCATTGAATTAATCACTTTGGATCATCAGGCCACCGTGGCGGTAGAGAACACTGGTTTTTGCCAACTTTTGGAGCCACGGTGCACCCTCCCCTCTCCATACTACCCTACCAGAGCTTTACAACAAGGTTTGTGACCATCTACAAGACCTTTTATCAGACAGCTTTTGGCTTTACCACAGATATTTTCCCCTTGTCATTGCTTTGCTTCACTGCACTTGATCAACTCCACTTATGATTTAAAAATAATAGTAAAAAACATTAAGGAATTAATTAAGGATTCAAGATTTTTTTATGCATTGCAGAGCTATTCAATTGTCAAGCATATACAGGGTCTTGATTTTAATAATTTCAGTGTATTTTAGGTGTGCAGAGTATCAGATCAGGGCTCAGTGTTGGGAGATACTGAATATTAATCTGGGGCAAAAAACTTGATCAGGACATCCCTAATCATAACCTCTTGTTATGTAAATACAAGCGTCTGAAGCTCTTGACAAGACTGCTAAGTAAACAGCTGTTAATGCTAACGTTGGTTATGTAGCTATAGTAAAACTTAAATTGTGTAGTGTTACTTTCTCCAAATTTTCTTCATTGCCATTCAGCCACTTAGATACATGATGAGCTCCAAAAACTCAGAGGTTCAACTCCACCAATGAGATTATTCATGCCTTGGGAAGAACAACCTTCTGTTTGTGTTACACAACCTTTATGTTCACAAATGAGCCTTAACAGTAAATACATAACAACACAGTTCGTTACAGAATGCAGAGCACTATACAGACCATGTTGCCGTTCCTCTACAGACACACAACAGTATCTGTAGAAGAACAGCAAAGGAGAGTTTACAACAACGTCATGTTTATGGTTCGGTACATTTTATGTTGATTGCTATAAACAAAAATAATGAAACAAGGATAAACTAAACTAACAAGAAGTAAAACAATACAATGACTACACCAATAAATATATGAAATATTAGTTAACATTTTATTATACCCTATGATATACTGCATGGAGAGTCAACAGTAAGTCCATCATTAGCCATGTGAAAAATTGTACAACAGCTTAAGTGTTGTTGCTTGTTCTGAAAAGCGTTTAGTTAAATATCTGTCACTCCCAATATCATACATGCTGGTGGTTGTATGCCAAAATATAATTGGATATCATGAATATACTGGCTGTTTAAGGGGGTGTAAATCTATCTGTCTTTTAACTTGTGAGTAGTGTTTTGTCTGCTGACATTGTGATGTTTCTACAGCAGAGGTCACTTGGGAGACAGAGACCTGAGGCCTGTACACTGAAGCAGGATCTGAGGTTATGGAGGTAACTTCAGGTTTAACTCTGGGTTTTCAGTCCTACAACGGTGGCTCACTTGTTACTGGGGTAAATCACCATGGTAACTGATGCTAAACTCCTAACCTGCTCGTGGCAGGTTAACTTCAGAGGATCAGATCAAAACCTGTCAACAGCCAAACTACTGACCAATCAGATCACTGGAAAAACTGAGTCATCATTCCTACAGGATCCTGACAGGGACAAAAAACTTAATCACAATAAAGTGATCAATAATAAAGATCAGTAGATATTTGTAAAGATCAGTGGATGGTTTTGACTGAGCTTCTAACAAACAGAGGAGAGTTTATCACTTCTCCTATTCTAGCTTCATTTGAACTGAACACAGATTCATTAATCTTCTTTAAACCAACAGTTATCCACACACTGTTTAATAGGTCCATGATTATAAATGAACATTTCAGTCAGACTGACTCATCAAGCAGCACAAAGTCTGACATCAACTTTAACTGTTTAATCTGCTTCACATGTTCATAACAGTTTGTTCATCATCAGATGAAAGAGAAAATGCTCAGTAAGAAACTTACTGATAATTAATGCACTTATTTACAATATATCTTCAGTCTGACCTTAATAATTACAATTTATTCCTACTGTTTCTTTTTTGTCATGTGATCATATTGGGTATTTTGAACCTGCTTCATAGTACAGGCTTCTGGGATGTGAGGAAGTTCATCAACATTATATTTTGTTTCAACACATGGTCGTGACCTGGGAAAAGAAACCCAAGAGCGAAATCAAACAGAGACTCTACATGAAGATATCATGAAAGAAAATTCAGACCATTTTGTTTCATAAAAATAAAGAGGAATCATAAGTATGTAGGGATGTTGACATTCTGTTATATTGTACTGAATTATTTAATTGTTCCACATACATAGCTGTTTTGTGTTTTTGCCTTTCTTCTGTATGTACTACAAGCAAAAAGACATCTGGGCATTGAATAACAGAGCAGATGGAGGGAATAACATATTAAATTTTTTTATCCTTGCACTGGTGAACTAGCTTTAGTGTGGGCAGCAAGTTAGCTGTAGAACAAACTCCTGAATCCCTGTGTTTTTCTTCTCTGGTTGTGTGCTGGGTTATAAAGTAAAAGAGCAAAAATTTCAGAACGCCGGAACAAACATTAGAAGAGGTTGACTTACGCTGTGATGGAAATGTTAGCAGCTGACATGGGGCTGACCTCCTTTACCTCCTTGGCCTTCTGGAGAGCAAGTTTCTTATTAATGGCCTCCTCTTGCTCCTCTTCATCCTGGACAGTATTTGCAAAAACATACATACAAACAGTACATACAGCAAGTCCTTTTTTAACCAGTTTACCTGCTGTTTCACTTGCACTTTCCTGTTATGGAAAGCTGTTAATACTGTCAGTGAAACGCAACACTGAAGATGTTTCACATTAAACGTCTTTCGTCAGTTCAGTGGGTCCCATCCTACAATTTCCTGGTAGGTTTTTAATGTGAACTAGAATCACTGTTTCCTCCGCCAGCCAGTCAAGTTACAGGAAATCTGTTCACAGTCTCTCCCCTGAGTTACAGAGTTTTAATAATGGCAAGAAGAGATTTAGCAGAACATTATGATGTCATTATGACAGTTAAGTTGATCTTTGACCTTTTGGATATAAAATGTCATCACTTCATTTTATCGTTATAGACATTAGAGTTAAGTTGTGTCATAATTAGTGAATGAATTTGTTTTGTGAGGTCACAGTGTGATAGTAATGAAATTCCCTCTGGGCGCTCCTGATATATTGCATTCACGAGAACGTCAGATACCCGGGACCTTGAACTTTGACCTTTGTCCGACAAAATCTGATCAGTTCATCTTTGAGCCAAAGTGAATGTTTGTGCCAAATCTAAACAAATTGACTCAAGGCGTTCTTGAGATACCACATTCAGGAGGCCAAAACCATGTTTTGTGAAGTTACCCTGAATTTGACCTTTGACCACCAAAAAGAGGACATTTGTGCTAATTTTCACAAGGTCAAAACCGAGTGTTGTCAGGTAACCATAACCTTTACCGTTGAACTTTGATCACCAAAATCTAATCAGTTCATCCTTGAGTCCAAATGAATGTTTGTGCTAAATTTGTAGCAGGTCCATCAAGGCATTACCGAGATATCGTGTGCATGAGAATGGGACTGACGGACAAAAGCAGTGGAAAGTGTCAGTTTCATTGTTCACTCTGAAACCTTTATGAAGCCAGGATATCTCAAGCTATGAAGACATACTGCACCTTAGTGAGCTCCTGGGCATTTGCAAGGTTATCAACAGCAATGGCCAAGAAGACATTGAGGAGTGTGTCTGGTTATTTGTGGTTTCAGGAAAAAGTCAAATGACTGATAAACACAGAATCAATATTTACAATTCTTTCACAGAGCTATGAGGCTGTCTGAATCGATGGAGGATACAGTTTCCAAAAAGAGTGAGAACAATGAAGTAAATGGAGGAGAACATTCCCCCATGAACGCCCCCCTGTGACTCAATCCCGTGGTACATGACCGCGTTCCAGTCTTCTCCGGTTAGGATCTGCAGGGGAGACACTGGTTGGTTTCTAAGGCCAGTTCAGTGGTTCAAGCAGAGCAGGATAAAAAGCTGAATGGGGTTGACCTTTACCTGGAAGACCGTGAGAATCGCTGCTGGGAATGTGTCAAAGTTTGTTGTCGGCGTTTCATCTTCAAAATTAAACCTGAAGGGAGAAAAAATAAATAAATAAATAAATCAAATTCTAAAGCCACAACACACAACACGGTGACATTCACTCATCCACAGCAGCTTATTGTCCTCTCCATTAGCCTGCTGCACATTATTCCAGTGCAATATATGCCTATTATGTTTGTGTCATCTGAGCGCCTAGTCTGTGTGACCTTATGGCTGATTTCTTGAGTGTTTATTCCTCTCTAATGGATGACTTGTTCTAATGCTGACATTTTGTATTTCTGTCTGTCTACTGGGACCTAATTACATCTCCCTCCAATTTTAGGGATGCAAATGGAGAGGGCTGAAAATGGCAGCAGAATTTGTCTTGTGCTATCTAAATCCATGAGAGCGTTTCCTCTGTCTGGATCTCATTAACAGACAGACACAGAAAGGAGGGAGGGAAAGCTCCATTTGTTACAGAGGCCTGACGAATACTTTTTTATTTTTTATTCTAATTCTGTTCAGTTTTTCTCCCACTTTAATAATTCCAGGTTTCACTAGAATATTTTAACTTGTATACTGTATGCCCCACTATTTCTAAGAGCAAAGAGATGTGGCTGAGCACTTCTACATGAAGCTCTCTCCATGTTTAGAATAAATTAGAAAATATTAGTTCTCATTTATTTTTCTCTAACCCTTTGAACTCTGGGCTTTTTTTGCTTAGAGACATCTCAGAGAACGTTTAAAAAGTGTTATGCAATTTAATTTTTTTCCCTGTATGTCCACATATACATATACAATAAAAAGAAAAAGTCAGTATCACTTTATAACATGAAACATTATTCATTATAAGTCTTGTCAGCATATATGTTTAAAGGAGCTATTTGTAAGTTTTGTTATTGCTACTTATCCAGCGTTAGCATTAACAGCTGTTTAGAAGTCCAGAAGAAACGTTGAGTTCAGAACAAACTTCATTCCTTTACTCACTGAGAGCGGCCACCAATGTTAACTCTTGTTTTGCCTCTACGTTCTAAGGAAGTTAGCATGCTAATCAGCTAGCTCCCGACCAGTTCGCCGGTCTTGTAAATATCCGAAGGATGGATTATTTACAAATTTATTCATCTACCGCACAGATTTAATTTTGTCTGTTTTGTTAACCAAGCAGAACACTAAGAGACAAAAAAACAAACAAACAAGCAAACAAGACGGTCAGCTAGCAACCTCACAAGACCAGATTCTGCAACATCAGTCATAAGTATGCTGAATCACTAAGAAGGATTTCAAAATGCAAAGGGCTGTACAGAAGGAAGAATGAGACTCATTTCTCACTGATGTGCAAAATGTCTATTTTGAGGTCTGCGTTATACGTCAAGAATTAGTTAAAGCTCATGACTAAATCACTAAAACTTGTGAAAGACAACCTGAGGCAATGAAACATCATGAAGAGTAGATTTGAGCGGGTTTGAGTGACATCTGTTTAAGTTATGTATCCGTTTATATAGTATCCATGAGTGGTACAGGTGCTTCACTTCAGCTCCGCCCCCTCACTTGCTCCGTCTCTATATCCTCTACAGGTTCTCATTCCTGTCCAGAGGAACAGACCAAATATGTGTTTTCATCCAGTCACATTTTCTTTCTAAACACAAATGTGGAGTTTAACGGGAAAACACTCTCTCCACTAATCAGTTTAGATAGAAATCAAAGACTAACTGAACCCAAATTCCCTTTCCTCCTCCTCTGCTCAATTTGGGTTTCATTTGTGCTTTAATACTGCCATCTAATGGGCACTTAGACAAACACACCACATAAAATTAATATGTCAATTATGATTTAGTTTTATGTTACTCCCCTTTCCCCTTGACTAACTTGGGCTCGTAACATAATTTGGAGCTGATCTGGGCTTTGAACCTGGGAGCTCTCACACAACAAGAATCATACACATAGACCTAGTGCCTGCTACTGGGAGTCCAGGAAAGGTTGGAAAGACAAACACTTCACCTGTCTTTGGTACTCCCTCACTCATGGGTCCAAGGAAGATAAAGTCCAAGTACGTCAGGCAGAGTTTGAGCTTCGTAACTGGAGTTAGCAGCAGAAACAGAGATAGCCCTCAGACTTAGAGAACTGGAGTTGAATTTGGAGGCAGAGAAAGAAATTAAAATACAGAGACCAGAGTTGCAAGCAAATGTCTCTGGCACACCTTTAGAGCTCACAGTGGATTTTAATGTCTTCAGTCTGTCAGCTGCTGATTCTCTAGCTTCAAATAGGCCTGCTCTTACTGTACCCATGTCCTCTAAGCCCAGGTTTTTTTGATGTCAGCAAACAAATCGTATTGGTGCCTCCATTTCGAAAATCAGTAGTCGACACATACTTCAATGTGTTTGAGCATGTTGCTGCCTCACTGGCCTAAAGAAGTCTTGCCTTTGTTACTTCAGTGTAAATTAGTTGGTAAAGCCCAAGAGGTTTGTTCAGCTTTGTCCTTTGAAGATAGCTTGTAGTATGATGTTGTTAAGAATGCTACTCTTACTGCATATGAACTTGTGCCTGAAGCATACAGATACAGTTTCGTAACCACATGAAAACAGCAAAACAAACCTTTGTGGAGTTTGCTAGAGAGAAGTTCACTCTCTTTCATAGATGGTGGTCTTCATGAACTAGTTCTACTGGCAGAGTTCAAAAACTGTGTGCCTGAGCAGACTGTTGTGTATCTAAATGAGCAGAAAGTGTCTACACTAAAAGAGGCTGCAGTAGTATCTGATGAATTTGCACTGACACATGAAATTATTTTTTCTAGTCATCGTGACAACTCTTCTGCAAGGGACCCCTTTCAAAACAAAGTTGACCTTCAAATTTCTCAGCACAAACCATTGTCCTCTGCCCAAAGTCGGTTTCTATTGTCATAAACCTGGCCATGTTATTGATGAGTGAAGAGTGTTAAAGCGCAAGCAATCATCTGAGGAAAGGAAACCAAACGGGGTAGGGTTGATCAGAACTGTCCAACCTCAGTGCATTGAAGAGGCACAGAGGAGCCTGACCCTTGTTTTAAACCCTTTATCTTTGACTGTACTGTCTCCTTAACAGGAAAGCCTGAAGATGAGCGGCCTGTGAGAATTTTAAGAGACACTGGTGGATCCCGGTCCTTGATCTTGTCAGATGTTGTGTCCTTGAGTGAAAAGTCCTCATGTCATGCCAGTGTTCTTGTTCAAGGTGTTGAAATGGACTATGTCTAGCTCCTTTGCATCATGTGCATGTTAAGTCATAATTTGTCAGTGGTTTCTTTGATGTTGCTGTTCCTTCCCCATAAAAGGTATCAACTTCATTATGGGAAATGACATTGCTGGAGGAAAAGTGAAACCTGTTCCAAAGGTGACTGAGATTCAACAATCAGATTATTAACTGGATGAACTGTGTGAGACACCAACTGTTCTCCGCCAGTGTTCTTACTAGAGTCCAGTCTCATCGGTTGAAGGAAGAACCAGACCTGAGTAACACAATGTTGGCAGGGAGTACCAGTGATGGTGTTTGCCATATGTGAAGCTAAGCAGGAATCCCTTGGTTTCACTCCCAATGACCTTGTCTTTGGTCATTCCATTCAAGGTCCTTTAAAGGTCCTGAAAGAACCTTCATGTCCTCTGAACAGTCTGTGATAACGAATGTTTTGGATTATGTTTCAGTTTCGTGAGCACCTGCACCAGGTCCACTCGATGGCGAAGAAAACTCTTTCATGCTCCCAGGGGAGAATGAAATGCCACTATGACAAGAAGGCTATTCCCAGATCTTTCAAACCAGGTGACCAGGTTCTAGTTCTTTTGCCAGCTTCTGGCTCAGTCCTCTCTGCTCGTTTTTCTAAAGTATCTGATGCTGACTATGTGATGACCCCCAAACTATCCTGTGCCAAATTAACATGTTAAAACCTTCTATATCAGAGATAACCACTCTCCTGAGTCCGCAGAAAAAGCCTGCTCACCCTGGTAGAAGCTGTTCCTGTGTCTTCCTCAGTGTCACTGTCCCTACACCCGATAGTATGGATGAAGATGATCTGGAGTTACGTGATGCCAGTCGGCAGTGTGCCAGGCTACTCAACTCTGAGGTACTGTCTGACTTGTTCACACTGCCTTACCCACCTAACTGATAAACAGAAGGCAGACATTGAGGCTCTACTTCAGGCCTATCCAGCTCTTTTTGGTGATGCCCCCTCACACACAACAGTGTTAGAGCATGATATTAATGTTGGTAATGCATCACTGTGTCTACTGTATGAATCTAACAAAAGAAGAGGTTATGAAGAAAGAAGTAAAATTCATCTTGGATAATCAGAATGGAGTTCTTCTTGTCTTTTAAGTCCCAAATCAGATGGCGGCCTTCACTTCTGCACAGATTTTGCTTCAGCCTTTTAAGATAGAGGTGGATGCCAGTGATATGGGCTCTGGAGCAGTCCTCCGTTAACAAGGAGTGTCTCATCCAGTTTGTTACTTCTCCCGCAAATTCAACAGACATCAGATGAGGTACTCAGCTATAGAGAAGGAGACTCTGGCACTGCTGCTTGCCCTACAACAATTCAAAGTGTATGTGGGATCCAACTCAATGCCTGTGGAGGTATACACACATCACAACCCGTTTGTGTTCAACAACAACCAACGGCTAATGAGGTGGGCACTCATCGCACAGAACTTGAACATTGACATTAAGCATAAAAAAAGATGTGGTGGCAGATGCCTCTTCTAGGGTGATACTTAACGCTAAGGTTAAGCAACAGGAATGTTTGTATGGGTTGATTGGTGTTTGTAGTTGTGTGTTGTGGGTAGGGATGTGATCTGTGCTGCTCCTCAGGTGCTGCAGGCCTCACCCCTGGATCCTCCCTCCTTTTAGATGTAACTGCAGCTGATTAGTGACCTGGGTTATATAAGCATCTGAGGAGCAGCATTTCAACCTCTCTGCCATGCTGCCTGTTGCCTGCCAGCCTACCTGTCTATATGATTTGTGTGATTTGTGAATGCACGTTCTGTGCCCACCAGTACTTTTTGCTTGGTAAATTTGTTTAAATTTTTGACT